TTTTTTGTCAAATATAGTGGCTCACCACCCACCTTCTTCAGTAGTAAGGTCAGCAGGAGGCGTAGGGCAGCAGCAACAGCAGGAGGAGGCGTAGGGGGCAGCAGCAGCAGGAGGAGGCGTAGGGGCAGCAGGACCAACAGCAGCAGCAGCAGCAGGCAGACGAGCAGGAAGGTCAGAAGGTCAACAGTAGGAGATGACGGAGGCGGACTTGAGCATGTGGTGGATGGTATGGATGAAGACCGGGGAAGCATCCTCCAGCATCCGCCTGGCCCCTTCACCCACCTCTCCCAACACCAGCTGATACAGATCCGCGTAGTACTGCAACAGCCAACGTCAGTACTCATGTTAGGTACTGTGTTGTCATCAGGTCGTCACCTACGTTATTATCTTGTCGTCAGCACACCATTCTTTACGTGATATTAACGTCATTATTGATGTCGTTATTGATTCATTACTTGCGTCATCACCTCCGTCGTTATTGGATCTGGCGTCATACACAGGTACTGTCAATAACCTGTCTCTCGTATGTCTCTCCCATACCCTTTTTTTAACTCTCTCTCTCTCTCTCTCTCTCTCTCCTCTCTCTCTCTCTCTCTCTCTCTCTCTCTCTCTCTCTCTCTCTCTCTCTCTCTCTCTCTCTCTCTCTCCTCCTCCCTCTCCTCGTCCCCCAACTTCTCGCTCTCCCCTTGTCCCTCTCCCCCTCCCCCTCCTTCCCTCTCGTCCTAACCTTGGAAGGGTCCTGGTCGTTGTTAGAGAAGGCCTGGGAGATCTCTGTGCACTGCAGCACGCTGGTCTTCTGTGGGGTGACCAACACCAGGGGCTGCCCCATCTGTACCATGAGACACAAACACAAAACGGTGCCAACTTTAGACAGGTGAGAGATATCAAGAAGTGCTTTGTTAACGTAAGAGTAGGAGGGAACTGGTGTGAACTAAACGAGTCCTCCACACCCTTACCCCCCTCCCCTCATCCTCCACCCTATCCCCTCCCCCCTCCACCCCCCCACACACACAGCTTAGACCCTCTTCCCTTTCATAAAATATAATATCAGAGAGCAATGCACATTAGCAATATTATTAACATACTGATAATTATGGGTTTAAACCCATGATGGATAATAAACAGCATTATTGATTTAAGGAAATATATTTTTCTGACTATGAAAAACTCTCCGAGGATCGCAACCAATATTACACAATTGACCAAACTTGAATCGTTGAGAGTCGGATGGTGGAATGTAAATAAATTACAGTACTATTTCTTCAGTCATTTAACTTAGGCCTATCCCAACCAGCCTATGTCCGTCCCGTACTACATATTTAGATATGGCTAACGCCAAGGATCTGGCCTCCATCTTTGGACGGATAGACAGACAGGCCTGATAGCTGAGTGGACAGCGCTCTGGATTCGTAATCTTAGGGACCGGGTTCGATCCCCGGTGATGGCAGAAACAAAATGGGCAGAGTTTCTTTCACCCTGATGACCCCTGTTACCTACCAGGAAATAGATACCTGGGAGTTAGTCAGCTGATACGGGTTGCTTCCTGAGGGTGTGTGTGTGAAAAAAAAAAAAAAAAGTTGGTGGAAAAAATAGGTGATGAAAAATGTGACAATGTCAGATCCCGAAGGAAGAATTGAAACGGGAATTTCCTTAGGTACTTTCGTATTAAGATCCTTCTGAAGATGTATTATTAAATACGAAACTACTTAAGGAAATTCCTGTTTCAATTCTTCCTCCGTGATCTGACACTCTCATATATATATGTTGTATATATATTATATATATATATATATATATATATATATATATATATATATATATATATATATATATATATATATGACAATGTCAGACCACGAAGGAAAAATGAAACAGGAAATTTCCTTAAGTACTTTCGTATATTAAATACATCTTCAGAAGGTGAAGACCTTCTGAAGATGTATTTAATATACGAAAGTACTTAAGGAAATTTCCTGTTTCATTTTTCCTTCGTGGTCTGACATTGTCACATTCTTAATCACGTGTTTATTTTCGTGATATACATATATATATATATATATATATATATATATATATATATATATATATATATATATATATATATATATATATATAAACTGTATTGGAGGGGATCTAAACATTCCCTCTAATGCGTTATGCGTGGTTTCCTCCGAGGCTATGGGTCCCCCTTCTTCCAGCTAGAGGTGGTACTCCCTTCCTATTTATATATATATATATATATATATATATATATATATATATATATATATATATCTATATGTCTATATATATATGTCTATATATATATATATATATATATATATATATATATATATATATAGACATGGTTCACGAGAACCATGTCTAATTTTTATCCCGTTCGTTTGCTTTAAGACACAAATGGTTCGTGTAAACGTAATATTTCATAATGTAAACAATGAGAGATCTTAATAACTGTGATCGTGTACATTTAGGCTAGAAACAGTTTTTCCCGTGATACAGCCCATTTCCTGATAATAGTCGAATTGGGCCTGAGGGCCATTTTGGTGCCCTACAGTGAAAAACACCTCCCCGTGCCAAACTCGCGTACCCAAGCTAGAACTCATTCCTAGACATCAGTAACAAAATTTGGATTAAATAACATTTGTATACACTGTGGCCCCTAGACAGGTTCTTTTCTCACCTGGGTGTCGTCTGCGGCCAGCTTCTTGGTCTTCATCTGGAAGACGAGCTTGGTCGTACCGGCCAAGAGATTCCAGCGACTCCAGGCGAAGTGGACGGTGGGGGCGACGAGGGCCATGCAGCGGTAAAGGTGCTGCTCCGTGGGCCGGTGCTTCGTCGGCAGGCCGTCTATGTAGCAGTAGGAGTCGCGGTCGGGGAACAGGTTGATGCCGTAGAATTGTAGAGTCTGTGGCAGGAGCACACATATAGAGGAGGAACACGTTGACCCCCCTCCAATGTGTAAGTCCAGAGGAAGTATGACATAATGAGAATTGTTGTTGTTTTAGATTTAGCTACTCAGAACGAAATGTCCAGGTAGCACGGGATATGGTGAGCCCGTACATAATGAGAGGTAATACGATCAATATATATCGTCACATGGCAAAACATGACTTTCGCAGTGGGGTTATAGATGCACCAAAGTCATGATCAAGTTTGTTCACTTCCTTCCAGTTGGTAAAGAATTATAATATAGTGTTGTCAGTGACATTTAGATACACGTATCCAAGTTTCCATCTCATTTAATCGCTTGCAATGAGCCACATGCATGTTGCAACACAGATGACAACACCTGCAGAGTCAGCCTCAGAGATAATAGACATCTACAGTGGGTATAGCGTATATAGCGCCCCTAACACAAGGTTTTGTTCACGTCAGTTAGGCGCCACGTTGAAACCGGTCATACAGGCCCAGGAGAGTGTAAAATAATATTATTATAGGCCTCTCCAAGACGAGGACAATAGACCCTATAGCCAGCTTCCTTTTCCAGCGCCTCAGCGTGGCGATACAGAGGAGAAACGCACACTGTTTTCCCTCGCACACACTAAGATTTGATAGAACCCAGTAGGCTCCAGAATCTGTACATCAGTTGATTGACATTTGAGAGGCGGGACCAAAGAGCCAAACCTCAACCCCCCGCAAGTACAACTAGGTGAGTACTGCATATCATGGTTCCTGCCCGCCATCTGAGGAGCTGGAGGAACTCGACAGCCTGTGACAACTATCCTTGTACCGTGTATGTAACAAATGCTGTAACACATTTTGTGTAATAAAATTTTAGATAAAATAAAATAATTACAAATATATAGTGTCAGTAGTAGAAGACAATATGTGTCAGCGCACGCGGGAGCCGGACAAGGCTCCCCCGGGTGCTGCATATCCTCTTCTTCGAGGCTGAGGGTCCATACAAACACAGTCAGGAGTCCTCAGAGATGCACTAAATAACTCTACAATATATATATCACACAATTTATAACTTAGTATTGCCTCAAGCAAAAAATAACATTATACATTCATAACGATTTTGTACATAAGCTTGGTGAACTGGGAATTATTTGATTTTAAATGTTGTAAGTTTGAACAAATCCACAAGGGCCGCGACGAGGATTCGAACCTGCGTCCGGGAGCATCCCAGACACTGCCTTAATCGACTGAGCTACGACAGGGTAGAAGGGTTTAAAAAAGTTTCAACCCTTTTACTCTGTCGTAGCTCAGTCGATTAAGGCAGTGTCTGGGATGCTCCCGGACGCAGGTTCGAATCCTCGTCACGGCCCTTGTGGATTTGTTCATTTGATGCATCACATTAGTGTGATCTCTGCGTGTGTTTTGTAAGTTTGTTAAGTGCGCTTTGAATTGAGCACATGATTGAAGCACTTCGAGAAAAGCTCTAAATGTAATCAGCTGAGCTGACAGTTGATGGATAGAATCACTTACGGCAAGAAGGGAAGGGAATTATCAGGTGAAATCGTCAAGCCATTACGACTATATAGCACTTGGAAGGAGTCAGGATAGGGATTTGGGATGGGACGGAAGGAAAGGAATGATGCCCAACCACTCGGACGGTCGGGGATTGAATGCCGACCTGCATGACGCCAGACCGTCGCTCTACCGTCCACCCCAAGTGGTTGGAAAAATTATATGGTAGCGTTGATGTGTTTATAAGATGGTGGAGAGTGAGAGCTCACCTTGATGAGAGCGTTGGGCTTCATAGGCTTCCCGTAGAGGTGAGAGAGGGCCGTGCGCGCCCCGTCCTGCAGGTTGGCCAGGCACACCTGGCCCCCCTCCTACACGGACACACAAGGTTAATGTACACACACACACACACACACACATATATATATGGTTAGTGTACACATACGTGATTTATATATACACACACACATGGTTAATGTTCACACGAGACACACAAGACAGATTAAAAGAGAGAGAGAGACAGACAGACAAACAACAATTACCATGATGGTAAACTGAGCAACGACCACAGCAGCTATGAGAGTGAGAGTGACAGCTCTCCCACCTTCCGGCTTCAACTCCCAGCTCTGGAACGGCAGGTTGGCGAACCGGTTCATAGCCAGCCCCATCACGCCTAGACGCGTCGTCCGAACCTGCAACACAACGGTTACAACGGTCACACTAACGGTCCCGAAGCAAGCTCTCTTCATTTGTCTGTTTATATTTCCTGTTGTCGGGAACAAGAAGCCTGTATTTTTGACCTACCGAGGACCCCTCCCTCCCCCAGGCCAACTACTGACCTTCCTCCAGGATGCAACCTGCAACAGTTGAATAACTCCCGGGAACCTAATTTCCGGCTAAGTCAACAGATGTATCAGGTGAAAGGAAATGTTCCCAGTCGTTTCTGTCTTGGCCGGAGGATTGAACCCATGTCCTTCGGTTGTGAATGGAGGACGCAGACAACTGTGCTACAGAGTGTTCTCATCCTTCAACTTGGGATAAAGGCATTACTGACACACGAAATTTAAGATCAATACATTGACATATAATCTAAAAAAAATAAACAATGAATATGTGTATTATTTCCATACTGAATTTGTTTGATATGGATTATTAATTAGTTATTTTATTTGATATTTTGTGACTAAATTATGTTGTGATTCGTAGCTTAGGAAGATTGTCTATGCACAGATAATAAAGCATCAATGATTACCCAAGTTTGTTATGTAGGCAAGACGGGGTCTTACAGAGTAAAGACCGGGACAGGCTTTCATCGGGATGAAGGTGGGGGGGGGGGGGGGTTTATGATGTTTGGGGGCTTGAGAAGGTGTCCGTGATTCACAGTGGATAGACCCGGGTTCGATTCTTAAAAAAGACAGACAACAGTTGGGCAGAATGGATTTCACCTGATGCCTCTGTAAGACCTGGCAGTAAATAAGTACCTGAGAGTTAGACAGCTATAGTGGGCTCCATCCTGGAGATATTTGAGAGAGGGAAATATATGGCTGATTTGATACGGAAAAATAGGTCGGAAATCAGTACATTAGATAATTGACGTTAATAAAAGCGAGGACTAAGAGCTTGATCCTGCAAGCACAAATAATAACTACCTTCCTACTCTCTTTCTCTTTCACACACACACACACACTCGTGTACAACTAGGTGAGCACACTGAATACACACACACAATACAAAACACAAGAGTACATATATCCCCTGAGCAATATATGCTCGAGTGACGGTAAATGAATTAACGTATAAACATTATCATCGTTCATTCAAAACTTACAGCCCCGCTCCTGTGCCAGGTAAGTCCACTACGGGCTCACCATAGCCCATACACTTGCCGCTCCTGTGCCAGGTAAATCCACTACGGGCTCACCATAGCCCGTACTACTTGTCGCTCCTATGCCAGGTAAGTCCACTACAGGCTCAACACAGCCCTTGCTACTCGCCGCTCCTGTGCCAGGTAAGTACACTACGGGCTAACCATAGCCCACACTACTTACCACTCCTATGCCAGGTAAGTCCATTACGGGCTGGACACAGCCCTTGTTACTCGCCGCTCCTGTGCTAGGTAAGTACACTACGGGCTCGACACAGCCCTTGCTACTCGCCGCTCCTGTGCTAGGTAAGTACACTACGGGCTCAACACAGCCCTTGCTACTCGCCGCTCCTGTGCTAGGTAAGTACACTACGGGCTCGACACAGCCCTTGCTACTCGCCGCTCCTGTGCCAGGTAAGTACACTACGGGCTGGACAAAGCCCTTGCTGCTCGCCGCTCCTGTGCTAGGTAAGTATACTACGGGTTCGACACAGCCCTTGCTACTCGCCGCTCCTGTGCCAGGTAAGTACACTACGGGCTGGACACACCCCTTGCTACTCGCCGCTCCTGTGTTAGGTAAGTACACTACGGGCTGGACACACCCCTTGCTACTCGCCACTCCTATGCCAGGTAAGTACTCTACGGGCTGGACACAGCCTTTGCTACTCGCCGCTCCTATGCCAGGTAAGTACACTACGGGCTCAACACAGCCCTTGCTACTCGCCGCTCCTGTGCTAGGTAAGTACACTACGGGTTGGACACAGCCCTTGCTACTCGCCGCTCCTATGCCAGGTAAGTCCACTACGGGCTGGACACAGCCCTTGCTACTCGCCGCTCCTGTGCCAGATAAGTCTACTACGGGCTCACCATAGTCCTTGCTACTTGCCGCTCCTATGCCAGGTAAGTACACTACAGTCTTACCATAGCCCTTGCCGCTCCTGTGTCAGGTAAGTCGACTACGGACTCGCCATAACCCGTATTACTTACTGCTCCTGTGCCAAATAAGTCCACTACGGGCTGACCATAGCCCGTGCTACTTGCAACTTTTTGTTCCCAGTAGCTGAATCTAAAACAACAACAACATTCATCAACGTTAAATAAGCATCATTTGTCCAGAGAAGACTGAGTATGGGTAAGGCTGTGCCCGGGTGTAACTGAGCACGGGTGAGGCTGAGCCCGGGGTGAGACTGAGCACGAGTTAGGCTGAGCTCGGTGTGGCTGAGCACGGGTGAGACTGAGCAGGGGTGAGGCTGAGCACGAGTGAGGCTGAGCAGGGGTGAGGCTGAGCGCGGGTGAGACTGAGCACAAATGAGGTTGAACGCGAGTGAGACTGAGCAGGGGTGGGGCTGAACACGGGTGAGACTGAGCACGGGTGAGGCTGAGCCCAGGTGAGGCTGAGGGAGCTGTTATAACCTGTCATACCATACGATAATCAGCTGTCATAACATACAATAACTAGCTGTCATACCATTCGATAACCAGCTGTCATAACATACGATAACTAGCTGTCATACCATAAGATAACCAACTGTCATACCATACGATAGCCAGCTGTTATACCATACGATAACCAGCTGTCATACCATACGATAACCAGCTGTCATAACATACGATAACTAGCTGTCATACCATACGATAACCAGCAGTCATAACATACGATAACCAGCTGTCATAACACACGAGTTAACTAGCTGTCATACCTGCATGACACACTGGTCCTCGTTGTACTTGACGTCGTGGAAGTACTCATTAGACCAGCACTTCTTGGCGTCGTCCCACAGAACCATCTGCGGGGGCTCGAACCAGAACGCAGAGTCCGGTAACCTGCCAACCATGCCATACTTGTAACATTTAACACAACGCATAATAAAATGTCAAAAAAGTGTATTTTTTTCCTACTGAGTTTAATGTCAGATACAATAATATTTGATCCGAATTTATCGATCTCTTAATTTTCGTATTAACTAATATTATTCTGTATCAAGGTTTTGTTTAGTAGACAAGGTTAGGGGTTATGTTATGCCTTGGACAGGATAAGGGTTATGTTATGCCTTGGACAGGATAGGGGTTATGTTATGCCTTGGACAGGTTAGGGGTTATGTTATGCCTTGGACAGGTTAGGGGTTATGTTATGCCTTGGACAAGTTAGGGGTTATGTTATGCCTTGGACAGGGTAGGGGTTATGTTATGCTTTGATCAGGTTAGGGGTTATGTTAAACCATTGAAAGGTTAGGGGTTAATTTATGCCTTGGACAGGATAAGGGTTATGTTAGGCTTAGGTTAGGTCTGGTATTTTGGTTCCGTTGGCAATTATTAACAATTAGAGCAGAGGACGGTGAGACATTTAGAGAGCTGCGCTTGGAAGACAAGTGAGTGATACGCTTATCATTCTGTCCATTACCTCTCTCCTCCCATCAGTCAGAATATCAACCGATCTATCTATTTAACTATCTGTCTATCTATATATCATTCTAACCATCCATTTGTCAAGCTATCCATTTATCCACCAATCTATTTCTCAGTTCATCTGTTAATTTAAACCACTCGCATATCAGTCAATCCGCAAAATAATCCATCATTTCACCCACCCATCTATTAATGTACCCACCCATTTATTCATATAATCCTTTACACCTATCGATTACTCACTCACTATCCAAATATTAATTCACTTGATAATTGTATCCACTCCCGTATCATTTCATGCAAGTATCCACTCTACACTCCATGCATCCACGTGGTCAACCGGTTCCCCGCACCAACCTGGTCTTTGTGACCCCCTTATTGTGAACCTGTCCTCCCCCCACCCTCCACATGTACACCAGCCCCACGTGAACCACCCCCCCCCCTCCCTTTCCCCTGGAACACCTACACCCACCATATAGCCCCGCCCCATTAACACACACGTACTTAATGGTTATAAGGAGAAGCTTCTGTAGTTCCTTCTCCAGCTGCCTCATCTCCTGCTCGACTGCCTCCGGGTCCCGCCTGCGCTGGCCCGCGCCCTCAGGGGCCGCCGGCGGGTTGTACTGGGCCACCCAGTGCACCTGGGCCACGGAGCACACCTCCTCCACTGACCGCCACCGCGTCAGGGCCCCCAGGGAAGAGATCGAGGTAGGATATGATACAAGAAACAGAAGGGTTGGGAAATAATTAAGTCAGAACTCGAATTAATATGCTGACCTTGGACGGTAACCAGCTGGGTACTGACCCCTGGACAGCAACCAGCTGGGTACTGACCCCTGGACAATAACCAGGTGGGTACTGACCCCTGGACAATAACCAGGTGGGTACTGACCTTGTGTGATGGTACAGTCAGCGATGACCCTGGGCTGAGGTGGTACCTCCAGCAGGTCGATGGTGTACACGCCGCCCTGGATGCGGTACCGCCGAAGGTTCAGTTCACCTGGCGCCGTCTCCGTCAGGTGGGGTGGCTTCTGTCTCTTCACCACCACAGGCGGCGCCCCTGCAACACACCTGCCATCTTGTATAATGCGATACAGCGCAATACATTAGCTTAAGGGGGCATCATGCAATTGTTCATACATCTGGACTGTTTCCTGCAGCCAGTTATTGTATATTGAAGTGTTGTAAGTTATCATATTGTAGTAAGTTACTGTCTCGTAAGCTATTATGACAATATAGTTTTTATAGTCTAGGTATATACAAATAAATTAAAGTTGAGTATTGTAGTGATTCTGTAACAACAGCGTAAATTTTAATAGCTAATAACGAATGGAAATAATGAATTTATGACAAAGTTTATCAAAATAGTTAATATGTCAGTCATACATCATAGAAAACGGAGTTCTTACCCATTTTCTCTTTGCCGTCTCCCTCAGGCTTGCTGGACCCAGCGGTCTGTGGGGGTGACATGAGGTTACAGGTGTTGTGTGGGGTGACACGGGATTACAGGTGTTGTGTGGGGAGACACGGGGGTACAGATGTTGTGTGGGGTGACAGGAGGGTACAGGTGTTGTGTGGGGTGACACGGGGGTACAGATGTTGTGTGGGGTGACAGGAGGGTACAGGTGTTGTGTGGAGTGACACGAGGGTACATGTGTTGTGTGGAGTGACACGAGGGTACATGTGTTGTGTGGGGTGACAGGAGGGTACAGGTGTTGTGTGGGGTGACAGGAGGGTACAGGTGTTGTGTGGAGTGACACGAGGGTACATGTGTTGTGTGGGGTGACAGGAGGGTACATGTGTTGTGTGGGGTGACACGAGGGTACATGTGTTGTGTGGGGTGACACGGGGTGCTGTCACAAGTATTCAAGTGTTATTTTAAATTTAGTAATTTTTAGCAACGATAAATAATGTCTACTGATATTGTTACTAACATATATAATTACTGTCATAATTGTATGCATATACATTGTAAATTGTATATATACATGTATTTATACATATATTTTGATTAATGTTTCTTAAGTAATTTGCAAATATAAGTAATATTTATGAAACATTTAAATAAAGAAATACTGTTTAACTAATATGACAAAAGTAATAATATAAACGTTAGATCCACCCGTGTCCATATATAGGTCGATGGTGTAGGCCTATGAAACATAATATGTAAAATACATCCGAACTGGGCGCAAAGGTTCTCCAATATGGCGGCCAAGTGTATTCAGCAACCCATCCTGCAAAAATCATACCATTTATACCAAGTATTTGATTGAATGTGCAAAAATGGACTGCTGCAGTGAACAAAGTATTAAGTTACGTCATGCAGTATTAAGTTTGCGGAGAGCATGGAAAGAAAAACTAAATTCTCCTAGGCTTCGTATAGCACACATATGTATTAAATTTTACCTAAGCTAACGTAGATTAGCGCAAGGAACCCTTAATTAAGCCCTGGACGGATTAGGCTACGCTTATTAGTTATTCTTCAATTTTTTAAGTATGCTATTTGGGGGTAATCCAGTGCAAAACTTGAATAGAGATACCACTTGACGGCCCGAAACGTTTCTCCATCTTCTGATGTGGGATTTTTGGTCATCAAAACTTGATTTTTTGGGGGGTCCTGCAGTACATTTTTGTTTACGTTAGCCCAAATGGTTACTAAAGTACACACAGTTTTGAAGGGAGAGCTGGTATTGACAACTCTCCTCACACAGCGTATACTGAACTGCGGCTCAATTTAGCGTACAAAAAAAATATTATCATTTAAAATTTAACGCAAATTAAATTAAATTGATCATGATCTCACCTCTTTGGGCGGAGGTTGTTCCTCTGGAGTAGCTTCCTCCTCCTCTCCTCCATCCTCTGATAAAATAATTAATAATAAAAAATAGTTTAGTGTCAAAACAAATAATAATAATATGTTTTATCTGACAAATAAACTATTTTCTCTATTTGTCGTAATCACGACAAATGCCAAAGTAAATTGCGTAAGATGAAAGTATTACTTGACAAAACCACTCTACTGCACATAGCAATACACTCGCTACAACAAACAACATACCATGTTTCAAACACATGCAGCACACCCACATGCCATTCAGCAACACCCGCCACACCTCCAATACACCCACCAAGCAGTCAACACACCCACCCAGCAGAGTAATATCCTTCTCCTGCACCAACGGGGGGTTGAACGTTCGCGCGAACTTGGAATAGTGGTCATACTCTGTCCTCATGACCCGGACCACGCAGTCCGCCTCCACTAGGTCCGCTGGTAGTGTGAAGGTGAACCCCAACTCCTTCACCTAAAGAAGAGGTGAATGTCAACTTCTTCACCCGAGGGAGAGGTGAACCTCAGCTCCTTCACCTGAGGGAGAGGTTAACCCCAGGTCCTTCAGCTGAAGGAAAGGTAAACCTCAGCCCCTTTACTTCATTTTGCATTCATTTTCCCTATGACTCAAAACAGAAAGTTGGATCAAGTTTACACCTTAAATTTAGGTGTAAAATTAACTATGAATTAAGATTAAATTGGTTGAACTGCTTCCCAAAATCATTTTTGTTGACCCACTTAACGTTCGGCTGGTACGTACCTCGTGGGAGTTGTTCTTGGGGGACCTGGTCGTGTTACTCCAGAGAGCCAGAGACACCAGCGGAGAGGAGGTGAAGAACGAGTACACCTTCCACGACAGAATCAACAGTCATTAACCATATATTATCTGATTTATTACTCTGAATATTTGTGAAAACAAGAATTTTGTGTAAAGTGTTTATGCCTCAATGATATGCCAATGTAATTGATGCCGACAAATATGGCTATTGAGATTCCTATCATTCGTATTTACTTTTACTATTCTGTTAAGTTAGAGATCAATCTACGTTTATTTATTAGTTTGGTAGTTTTAGTTGTTGACAAGTAAAACTATCGAAAAACAAGAAGCAAGTTACGGAATGAACGTGTACGTTAGGATTACCAGTCATGAAAATGAGACGTTAGATTAGGTTAGGTTTGGATAGGTTAGGTTTGGATAGGTTAGGTTAGGTTTGGCAATTATAAGAGAAGTAAGATATCTGGGTAGGCTAGGCTAGGTTAAGTTAGGTTACGTTAAGTTAAATTAGGTTATGTTAAGTTAAATTAGGTTAGGTTACTTTTGGTAGGTTAGACAAGGTAAAGTTTGATTAAATAAGACTACTTTAATTAATTTACGATTTAAATTAGATTTTGTAAGGTTAGGTATTGCTAGGTTAGGCTAGCTAATTAAGCAGGTTAGGTTATAGTAGTTAATTAAGCAAATTAGAGGAGCACCATTGTCTCATGGTCGAGGTGAGGTCGCAGGTCCAGCAGCTGGTGGTACGTAGCCTCGTTCAGTTTCTCCTTCTGCGCCTCCTGCAGTTCCAGCCAGATCTGTAACGACACACGGTAGAGTCACTGGGCACAGAGCTCAAGGACCCCAGAACACAGGGAATGTGACTGTACCGCTGGAGAGTACAGTCTTCACGAGCAATTAATTTTGTTAGTAATTAGCACCATATAAAATCATGTTATATATAAAATATAAAATCATGTTACATAATACGAATAAAATATGTCTTGTAACTTCAGAGACTTGGTCAAGCGTATATATACACGGACAGAGTGTACTTTAGTTCAGGAATAAAGTATACTGATTGGTTGATCAGTAAGCTTTATGGTAGCCTATTGAAAGCTCTTGGGGATCATTAACCAGATTTTATCTGGTCTTGCAAGCTACCAGGTTCACTCCCCAGAGTACTCCTGGTCTTGCAAGCTACCAGGTTCACTCCCCAGAGTACTCCTGGTCTTGCAAGCTACCAGGTTCACTCCCCAGAGTACTCCTGGTCTTGCAAGCTACCAGGTTCACTCCCCAGAGTACTCCTGGTGTTGCAAGCTACCAGGTTCACTCCCCAGAGTTCTCCTGGTGTTGCAAGCTCCCAGGTTCACTCCCCAGAGTACTCCTGGTCTTGCAAGCTACCAGGTTCACTCCCCAGAGTTCTCCTGGTGTTGCAAGCTCCCAGGTTCACTCCCCAGAGTTCTCCTGGTGTTGCAAGCTCCCAGGTTCACTCCCCAGAGTTCTCCTGGTGTTGCAAGCTCCCAGGTTCACTCCCCAGAGTTCTCCTGGTATTGCAAGCTCCCAGGTTCACTCCCCAGAGCTCTCCTGGTGTTGCAAGCTACCAGGTTCACTCCCCAGAGCTCTCCTGGTGTTGCAAGCTCCCAGGTTCACTCCCCAGAGTACTCCTGGTGTTGCAAGCTACCAGGTTCACTCCCCAGAGCTCTCCTGGTGTTGCAAGCTCCCGCACACAATCAGAGTTGGATCTAACTCACCTAACCTAATCTAACCTCTCCTAACCTAACCTATCCAAACCAAACATCTCCTAACCTACCCAATCCTACCTAACCTAATTAACCAAACCTAATCTAACCTATTCGAACCTAACCTCTTCTAACCTAACATATTCAAACCTAACCTCTCCTAACATAACCTATTCTAACCTAACCTCTCTTAAGCTGCTATCTTACCTGACCTGCCCTATCCTACCTAACCTATCCTGCTTAACCTAACCTGTCCTACTTAACCTAACCTCACCTCCCGAAAATATAATATAAAAGTTAGTTTTATACACGGTGGCCACGAGGTGTTTGGGCGACGCTATGACGTCATAATTCTAATACCGGCACAGCTATTGTCTACGGCTGGACCACGTAGGACTGACCTCCCTCCAATCCCGAAGTTGCTTCTCCGTGGCCTCCTTCGTCTCCTCCATCACACCCTCGAGCTCAGAAATCACCTGGCCAATGTAAACAACAATCACCATCACGTACAATTGATACCATTGTTATGTATTATTTAAGTATCAGCGGAAGCCGTAAATGCTTAGACATTACAAGTATGAACTCAGTTAGCATGGGGTTACTAGGCAGGTATGAACACAGAGAACATGGGTTACTAGGCAAGTACTCACGTGGATGACCTGGTCGGTCTTGGCGAGCGCCCCCTGGAGGGTACCGGTGTCCAGGTCTGCCCTCCAAAGGCTCAGATACCGGTTCATCTCCGGGACGCTGGTCGGGTCCGGTAGGCCATCACACCGCATCATCCGCTCCCACTGGTGAGGTGCACCCCTGTGTTAACTCCTGTAGCGCCAGGGCTGCTCCTAGTGTGATGTGAAGGTTGATACATGGTACTGTGTCATTCTTAGTGTGATATGAAAACCTATATTTTGTTGGGTGTCACCCTCTTGACACCAGACAAGTGTGGCATGTTATCATGTGCTCCTAAAACTCAGCAATACCCTTCTGCCTCCCTGGAGCTCCTTCAGGCACCCATTAACCAAACCTGTAGATCTTTACTCGATCGTGGCGGCTTCGTCTGTATTCATTAAACTTCTTAAGAGCTTTAAGACTTCGCTATTCTACGTTATTATTGTTATAGACATCCTCGTATCTCTTCGGAACTCCTAAACTGTTTTATAAATGCAAATTCAACCATCATGATTAAGGAAAGATGTACAGGTTTCGTAATTATCCACGTAAATGCTTGATGAATACTGTCTTGTAAAGGTAAGTCGTAAGACCTCGAACATTGCTAATAAAAGGCTCTCGAGAAGGGAAGGGAACAATCAAGAGAAACCGCCAAGCCATTGCGACTACATAGCACTGGGTAAGGGTTCTGGAAAGGATTTGGGATGGGACAGGGGGTGGGGGGGGGGGGGGAATGTTGCCCAACCACTTGGACGGATGGAAATTGAACGCCAACCTGCATGAAGCGAGACCGTCGCTCTACCGTCCTGCCCAAGTGGTTCCAAGGTCAGCAACAACATATGAGAATACAATGTTGACGATCTTGGGAGAGTTGTGTTGGCCGAGGCCCATTAAGACTATAATGTGCTAATGGAGGAAGAGAGCACAGCACCACCAAGATGCAGGATACAGGCACCAATTAATGTTATTGAATCGTGCGCAGACAAGAGGTCTGTAGACTTGCAGTACTGTAGAAAATGTGATGGTTTGTTCTTGGTCAAGTATGGCAGCCCTGAGGGTAGTAGTAAGGCAGAAATAGTGTGTGTGTTTACTGTTTGTGTCTGCGAGTAAGCGGGGAGTAGCGTGATGGTTGTTCTCCAGCTCCTGGCCCCCTTACCTCTTCCTGGTCCTTGAGCCGGTCCCGTGTTAAGTCCATAGTGAGGTCGAGCTGGGTGGTGACGGAGATGGTGGCCAGGAGCTGGAGCCCACGCTGCCGCTGCTGCTCCCGCATGGCCGCTGCCTGTCTCGCCGCCTCCTCCGCCTCTCTTGCCTTCCTCGCCGCCTCCTCCTCCTCCTCCCGGAGTCTGAGGAAGATATAAGCACAGCCTCAACACCGCAGTTGACATGAAAGGTTGACACTCATTTTTTTTTATTCATCCAAATTCACTCCACTCACTCACTTCCCTCTCATTCTCTCACTTCCTTCCCTCATTACTGACTTCCCACTCTCATTTACTCAATTCTCTCGGTCATTCACTCCTGTCATTCATTCCCTCACTTCTCGTTCTCATTCTCTTAATTCTCACTTATTTCTTTCATTCATTCATCCCTTCCCGCTCTCCTAAATAACAGGAAGTAAACATTCGTTATGATACCTAACAGCTTTGTTTCAGTGAGTGCTATTACATCTGGGTTTTCCTCTTGTGCCCTTTCCCTAAGTTCACTTGCCTTATTTGTAATCCCATCTATGTTTGAGGACATTACTTTGAAATGTGCTTCTGCACAAAAACATCCTTGTATTTCCACACATGCAGAATATTGCTCTTCCTGGATAGGATTGCCTCTAAGCAGCATCAGTTGGAAAATGTTGATGAATGACCAGATACTCAACTCATAAACAACATATGAAGATATCATGTAGGAACTCAAACCACATTCGGACCAGCTGCCAAGGGAGAATGGTCACAGCCTAGCGAATGGTCAAATCGTATACAATACAGTACGACAAAGCTCGTTTTCTAATTGCTAAAACCTTATATATATCATTTGTTTAGGATGTATTCGCTTAGGTTAGGGCTCGTTTGGGATAAGTAGAGTTGATTAGGGGTTAGGTTAGGTTTGGGTTAGTTAGGGTTAGATTAGGTTAGGTTTAGTAAGGGTTAGGTTAGGTTAGGTTTGGGTTAGGTTGGTTTTAAAATCCGTTGGCAAACTGATTTGTGTAAATTGTTACGTGTCCCAGCGGAAGAACGAAAAACAGCTGAAGGAGAGTGCACGTGAGGGAGCAGTTTCAGAAACTTGAGGTGGCAGAAGCTATAGGTTCTTAGTTACCTAAGAAACCTGCTACAGTAGTGAATAAACCTCTCACAAGATTCATCAACCATTTACGTAACTAAATATGGCAGTTTGTTTACAATTAAGTGCTTCGGGGGCTCATAAACTGATTATTAAATGTAAACACAGCCTCCATGATTGAGGGAAGATGGACCTTCTCACACACCTGCTAGCCTTCTCACCCCGCCCCCACACACCTGTACCTCCTCACCCCTCACACACCTGTACCTCCTCACCCCCTCACACACCTGTACCTCCTCTCGCCTCCACACACCTGGCCTCCTCAGCTTCCCGCTGCCTCCTCTCCTGTTCCAGTTGTCTGAGCTTGTCTCTCTCCTCCTTGCTCAGCTTCCTAGCAGCGCCCTGAGCCTAGCATGAGGTAGCAAGGAAAAGCAGTGAAGACAATTAGTCAAATATTTCACGTATAACAATATAATTCAACACGAAAAATCGGTATTAATACCTGATGTTCTCTATCCCATTGTGATGTTGTTATTATTATTATTATTATTATTATTATTATTATTATTATTATTATTATTATTATTATTATTTTTATTATTATTATTATTATTATTATTATTATTATTGTTGCCTGCTAAATTATGCTGGTCCAACACACACTTGTTGGATGGTGTTGCTCAACACCTGCTGGGTGGTGTTGCTCAACACCTGCTGGGTAGTGTTACTTGGGTAATAGGATTTCTGCCCCGCCCGGGATTCGATCCCGGAATTCTTAATTCTGAGTCGAGAAGGAACCTTTGTGTACTCCCGGGACCGTGAATAATGCTTTTCCATAAGTTCAGTCACAATTTGATTAATTAAATTATTTTACCAATTTCATATAACAATATTTTCGTTCATAAACATTCTTTGAACCACCAGTTATCACTGGTAAACCATGTACAGGTTGACGTGTATAGACCTGCGTGCTGGCAGTTTACCTTGGGCGGCATCTCTTAGCTCCTGGTCCCGGCTTAACACGAGTGCTGCTTGGGAAACTCCTGCTCACTTGAGATCTGAAAAATAAATGTTTAGAAAGATAAAGATGTCCATAGGAACAATTAAGTGGAATGTACAATAGAGACAGAATTTACCTGAGTTTACCCGAGGGCCACTAACACTCTAATGGCCTCGACGACAAGCCAGCGGCTTGTCATAGACAGACTAGGGAGAGCCCCGTGCTGAGCCTAGCCGGTAAGACAGCCTAGGCAGTTACAGCGCTAAGGGAAGATAATTATCAGGAGAAAGCGCTAAGCCAGTATGACTATATAGCACCTGGGAAGGATACGAGGACAGAGGGAATGTGCAGTGCTTAACCACTTCAACTGTCGGGGATCGAACGCCGACCTGCATGGAGCAAGGTCGTCTCTATACCGACCAGTCCAAGTGGTAAATGTAAACTCTCAATAACAGCATATATATATATATATATATATATATATATATATATATATATATATATATATATATATATATATATATATATATATATATATATATATATATATTGTGACGATAATCTCCTTCAAGAGATTGAGCCTGCTCTTCCCTCCACAATTACGTCATTGAAATTATATAAAACTACTATGGAAGAAATGTCCAACAACGACAACAACACCAGCTCCGGTTTGCCAGAGCGCAAAACGTTGCAGCCAGAGACACCTGTTCAGACTCAAACCGCCAAACTACCTGTTGATCGCTACCGGCTCCGCTGATTGGTCGCCGGCCGGGCTGCAACTGCACTTCGCCCCCCATACTACTTGATGTCTGGGTCGCCACGACCTCAGACCTCAGAATGTTCAGTGCTTTCGTGGTTACCACTCCTCCCGGCTAGACGTTAGCGTGTACTGAGAGAGGTGGTAGCTTAAAGCCAATATTCCAGCACCTTCCCTTTATTTTGTGTTGCACTTCTTGTTATTTTATCTTAACGTAACTTTTCATTGTGTCATTTAATTATTCTTATTATTTTGATTGATTTTATTATTCAAATTTGTTTGTCCATTTTTTTTCATGTTTTGATTTATTTAACGTAATTAAAATTTCATTGTTAAAATTTACTTGTGTTTTGTGTGTCTTCTCCTTACCTTACCACAGACGAAGTTCCAGTTTTTCTATTTTTTTTTATAACTATGTGACGAGGCCATACCCCTAGCCTTAAACAGCCGAACACCAACGCGTTACCGTCACAATATATATATATATATATATATATATATATATATATATATATATATATATAATTTTTAGGGGTACCACCACTGGTTTAATTAAAGGGACCCACATCCTCGAAGAAGAAAATAAATAGTGTTCAGAGAAGACCTTGTGGATTCTCACTGAATACTTTAATCTTTTCCTCTCCTACCACCCCTATTATTTTTTTTATTTGATTTTATTGCAGTGCTACAGTTTACAGAAAACACACACTTATATAACAATATACCAATCAGTGTTCGAAGACCTCGTCCAGCTCCTCGGGGTCGGGTGCGTACCCAAGATACAGCACGCATTTCCCCTCTGAACAGCAACACTGAGGCGCTGAAACATAAAACTGGCCGCTCTTGGGTCTCTAGTCTTCCCAATGAGTTCCTCGCCCAGCTCCTTCAGGAACTTAAGTGCACATTTACCCCAGGCGCCCAGAGTCTCAGAGCCTATTGGCACGAACCTGTAACAACGTTCTAAGTCCCTGTACTTGTTAGTTTTCTGGGTCTCCCTGAAGGTGGCCGCCCCGCCTCCCTAAGCTGCGCTGTAAGGTAGATAGGTATCAGCCAATGTGGATGCACACGTGTAGTCCCACACGACCTGTTTACCTTCCCTCCACGGCTGCAGGGTGACTCCATCTGGGCGTTTTTGGCTGTTGTCAGGTCTGCACAACTGAGGTTCCCTTTGTGCTGGGCACCCAGCTGAAGCCAAACTTCTCTTGATGATGTCATTGACTGCTTCATGTCTGGCAATCTTTCCCTGTGTCTTACGACAGATGAGACCATGGCTGCCGTATTGGTCTGCCCGTGCATGGCCGCAAATACACCGGTGCTCGCGGTGTATATATATATATATATATATATATATATATATAATGGTGGTAGATACAGTTCATGAACCAGTTCCTCTGCGGCTTTCGATATAATTCCATCAACACGGGCTTAAGATTTCTTTAATTTGTGAATGTTCTGCTTGACTGTTCCGCACGTTATGGGAATATTCCTTAAGTCATTGTCGTCCCTCTGCTTCAAACATTTGTGTGGGTGTTGGGATGTTGTCTTGTCCTTCTTGTCTGAGCTTTTGTGTCACGTATTCATACATAGTCTTAGCTACCTTTTTATCGTCAATTATAACTTGGTTGGTCTCACCCTTTTGTAGGTTCTTGTAGAGTCTTTTGTCTTGGCGTTACTTGTATATAAGCATAAAATACCTTGGGGTTTTTCTTACCATAGAATGAGTATGGGGTCCACTACCATACAAAGGATTGGTATGGGGTCCACTGCCATCCACAGGTGGGCAGTAGTGGACCCCATACTCATCTTGTGGGAGGTAATTAATGGCCCTCCATACTCATCCTGTGGGAGGTAATGGCCCTCCATACTCATCCTGTACTACACACGATTTGGAAAAGTTTTTCTCCCATTTATTTTATCTGATTTGATTTTCTAAGTTGCTTAAATTAATGCACTTGTGTATGACATAATCTATGGGAGTCTTGGTGGACTGATGCGTCTTCCAGAGGTTGAGCTTAGATGCTAGTCTTCCTTGTTTCCTCCTCTATCATCCATCTAGTTCTCTTTCCTTCGTTCTCGACTCACAATCGGGGATTCCGGGTTCGATTCCCGGGCGGCACAGAAATGGTTGGGCCCGTTTCCTATCCCCCTCATGCCCCTGTCCACCTAGGAGTAAATAAGTACACAGGAGTTAGTCAGTTTGTTGTGGGGTTGCATCCTGGTGAGGGTCACAGTTTGACCTTGGGGAAGGACCTCCATATAAACCTAATTTGTACTGTATATAGAAACTGGCTGTCTGTCCCCCGACACAATGAATCATTAAATTATGAATTATTATCATTATAATTATTCCTGTAGAATCAAGGGTATATATAATTTTCTGTCACGTTTCTGCCCGAAACGCTGCGCGTACTAGTGGCTCTACAAGATTGTAAATACTATGCTATGTAGTCTCACAAACGCAATGTAAACTTTAAATTGTATATAAATAAATAAATAAATAAATAAATAAATAAATAAACGTGCACATGTACCCCAATGTGGCGTGTCAGGTCAACTGCCACTTCAAAAGGTCGCTTTTGTAGACAACTTCTTCAAGATGTATCACAAACAAGGAGCAACGGTCTCAAGCACAACAAACCACAGTGTGGGACACTGAAGGGCAAGAGCTACGAGGAGAGGTTAGAAGCATTAAATATGCCAAAACTAGAAGACAGAAGAAAAAGAGGTGATATGATCACTACGTACAAAATAGTAACAGGAATTGATAAAATCGACAGGGAAGATTTCCTGAGACCTGGAACTTCAAGAACAAGAGGTCATAGATTTAAACTAGCTAAACACAGATGCCGAAGAAATATAAGAAAATTCACCTTCGCAAATAGAGTGGTAGACGGTTGGAACAAGTTAAGTGAGAAGGTGGTGGAGGCCAAGACCGTCAGTAGTTTCAAAGCGTTATATGACAAAGAGTGCTGGGAAGACGGGACACCACGAGCGTAGCTCTCATCCTGTAACTACACTTAGGTAATTACACTTAGGTAATTACACAGCTGGAGATACTTTTTCACCCACTGGGTTTATAAACCCATGGAACCGCCTACCCGCCGCAGCCGTAAATATCCAAACACTGTTGAATTTTAAAACCCAACTCGATAAAATCGTCAGGACAAAGGGGTGGACCTGTAACAAGTCGCCGACTTCCTGTCCTCGTCGAAGACACTTGTGAGATAGTAGGCCTCGGGTAAATAAATTCACCAACTACCTGATGTAGTGACGGCGTCCTCGTCGCTATGGCAACGGGTGAAGGTGCGGTAGTGCGAGGAGCGGCCGCCAGGTGGTAGCACCGGCAGCGTCACCGTCTCCATAGCAACGGGTGAAGGTGCGGTAGTGCGAGGAGCGGCCGCCAGGTGACAGTATAAGCGGTGTACCCGATCAGCTGTTCACCAAACAATAACAAGAAAAAGAAAGTGGAAAGTCTATGACGTGAGTATTCCCACGTAACCTGATGAGGAAAGATGACAGGTGAAGGTTAGTGGCGAGTCAGTTTGCCTCCGGCCGCTACAGTTGAAACACACCTGTCAGTTAATGTGTGGTACATCATCGCTTCTCTCTGAAACAAAAACTCAACCTGTCCAAAATTAACGAAAACCAACATAGAAATTGTTTTATGTATATACATGTAGTATACTCTGCGCGAGGTGTGTGACATCACTATATTGCTGCTATATCTGCTAGATTAAGGACCTGCCCGAAACGCTGTGCGTACTAGTGGCTTTACAAGAATGTAAATACTGTACTATCCAATGTATTCTCACAAACCCAATGTACCTTCTTGTATATATATAAATAAATAAATAAATAAATAAATAAATAAATATTATGGGCCCAATATCACAGTGGTCTAACTCCTCAACTCACAACATTTCCTCTGCTCGATTTACAAATTAGATGTGGGATCGCTGAATTGTTTCAAGCGTAGGTTAGACATATATATGAATAAGTGTAAGTGGCTAGAAATAGGAGCTGCCTTGTATGGGTTAACAGGTCTTATACAGTTACCATTATACTGACCTTATGTCCAGTATGGATTTTTTCAATCATATGCTACTGCCACCTGAGGTTAATTGCACTGTATGTACATCACAGACTCGTGTACAGTCGTGTCAGGTGACACATTACATCGAGACTTCGGGAAAATTTTTACCTGTTCTTGCAGGGTCAACCCTAAGGTTGTACACAACAGGAATATAGTACAGCATTACATTTTATATGAGCTATGATCACTACAGGTTTCATAATGATACATTTTACCGCTTGTCAGACATCTTTTATCATGTTATGTCGTTTATCTTTGTCAATACAGTAAATAGCTCTGAAGCTCAAATAAGCTTCTTAAAATAAATCATATTTAATTTTAGTATGAAAAAAAAGCATATACAGTAGTGCCTACTCCCGTGGACAGAATGGTTCACATAAATGCCAGGAACTCATCGTATATACTGCAGTGAGTTACTGTAACTGAGAAATGTGGCGTTAAATAGTATGAGAAACGCTGTTCTGAGCAGATTGTTCTGCTAATGTACAAACGCCAGTGGATAATTAACCAGAGCTCTACCTTGAGATGGTAAGGGAAAAGGGTGAGAGAAAATTTTGCAAGATGTTTTATGACTGAACTGCTGTCATTCATTATGGCTTGGATATAGTCTCTAGTGATTCTGTAATACTGTACCTTATTGCCCCTGGAGGAACAGTCTGAGTTCTCTCTTGTGCCATGTAGTATATCATCTTCATGAATATGCATGGTCCTTTTCAATGGATGTAGCGGATCTTACTGTAGAGAACAGCACAATAAACTGCTCAGAAAGGTGCTCTTTAACATTACTGTACTTTACTCAATACTTTATTTTTTACATTTCAGCTGAGAATTGGTTCAGTCAAGAATTTTAGCTCATGTCGCTTCGGCCCCAGGTTATACAACTATATAAAAATGTGAGTTATAAGTCAATGTTACTTTTTATCAAGACATTACTGCATTGTGCTTGCTCCATTCGACAGGGAAGTCATGATTTAGTTTATTTATGAAATTTTATTTTACATTTCTTAATTGTTTCAATGCATTGTACAATACTGTACAGTATTGTACAATATGCCTTGTACTTGGTTTAATGCATAATAGATTTCTGGGAGGGCTCTTAAGGTGGGTCCTTGGTGCTTGCTACATGGAAAGCTCCACCCAGTTTAATCCACACCAGGCCCTTGCTAGTCAGTGTGAGCCTACTGGGAACCAAAGTAGGCTTACACTAACTAGGTTCCATTAGCTTATAACCCCGTGGGTGAAAAAGCATCTTCTGTTCTCAGTGCAACATCTGAGCATCTCCTGTTCACAGTGGCTTGAGCTTGAAACCGTTGCTCCTTGTTTGTGTTACATCTGACCTTTTGAAGATTGTCCAGATCAATATTCTCCAAATTGTTTGCTATTTAAAGTTTCAATGAAATCTGCCCTGTCATGCCTGGTTTGCAGTGTTATTAGCACAGTAGCCCTCAATCATTCCTGATACGTGAGTTGACTTGGTTCTGGAATGATTTTTGTTGCCCATGTTGCACTTTCTCCAGAGCAGCTATGTCCTTCTAAAGATGAGGTCTCCATGCTTGGATACAGTACTCCAAATTGGGGTGCAGCAGAGATTTATACAACTGAATCACTACTGTCATTTCCTTAAAGTCAAAGGTACGCTTGATTATTCCAAGGGTTTGGTTAGCTTTTTGACTGCAGCTCCTATCTGTTGTGCAACTTTCAGTGAGTGGTGGATTTTGACTCAAAGGTCAATCTGCTGTAATGTAATGTTATTACTGTACATTGAATTTGTCAATAATAAAGAGCACTTGCCAGCCTTCTGACCATTTGTGGAATTCATGTAGATTTCTTGCCCAAAATGTTTTGTGTAATAGTGGCTTCATTAGTATAACTCCTGTCCCAACAATTGTATATTACTCTTATATTCTTTGTGCACACATTCTTTTGAATAAAGATTATTATTATAGATCTCTTTGCAAGGCTTCGGTATCATTATCATTTCCCACTTTACTAAATCTTTGTGTCATCTGCAAATTTGATGATGTGGTTTATACTATTCTCATCTATGTCATTGATGTATATGACAAAAAAAGTTGGACCCCTGTGGTACCCCACTTACCACATTTCTCCAATCAGAGATTCATTCCCAATTAGCACAACTTTGTTTTCTTTGTTTTAACCATTGTTTTATCCCTTCTAGTATTCTACCATTTATTCCATGTGTCTGTAATTTCCTTGCCAGTCTTTTATGTGGTACCTAATCAAAGAATGTAGTTGCTAATGTAGTATTCATTAGCAAAATCCATGAATATTACATCCACTGTAATTCCTTTGTCTTAGTAGCTGGTTACCATTTCCAAAAATGTGAGCAGGTTTGTAAGGTAGGATCTATTTTTAACAAACCCATGTTGTGTCAATTTTAAAAGATTGTTCATTGAAAGATGGTGAATGATCCCCTCCATTAGGATTCTCTCTGTGAGCTTGCAGATGTGTGATGTCAAGCTGATCGGATGGTAGTTTCTGCCTTTGAGTTTGAGTTTGAGCCTTTTCTGCCTTTTATAAAATAAGGGTGACATTTGCATATTTCCAATCTAGGGGGGACTAGCCCTTGGTCCAGAGATTTTGTAAAAAGTAATTTCGGTGGTAGGCATAGTTCTGCCAGTTCCTTTATGACTTCGGATTAGATTCCATCCACACCTGGGGCTTTTGAGTCTTTTAGTTTGCTCAATTTAATTTAGTTCAATTTAGTTTAGTTGGACTGGGGTTGGTGGGTTTTCCTTATCTCTTCTCTCCTCTTCGACTGCTGCTCCAGGTTCTAGCCAGACTTGAGATGTTCTTCAGCAGGGTTCTCCTATTGGCTTCCTTTTGGCTGGCCCAGCTACGGTTTCCAGCTCTTTGGACCTGTTTTCTGAAAAAAAAATTTTGGCAGCTTTTCTTTTTCTCTTTCAGTGTACAAGTCCAGAGATATTTCTCATTGGTTCAAGACTCTTTGCCAGTCTACATGTTTGGAGTATTTGACTCTTAGTACTGCTCTTTGTACATTCTGCAAGTGCACAAAGATTGGGTGAAACACCCGAACGTTTCGTCTGCAGCTTTCGTCATGGCAACAGTATGAGCTTTCTTGACGTTCCTTCCTTCTTTTTCTCTCTTATTCACTTGTCTTCTGTTTCTGTACCAGTGGTGTTATTACTTTTGTCTTGGCTGTTTCTGAATAGGCTTCTTATGTCTCGTATCATTCAGCCTTGGTGGAGACATTGCTGTTGGTGTTAAGTGTTGACATGATGTCGGTCCCATTTCACAAGTTGTCTTCGTCATTTTTTCACCTCTGAGCTCGTGCTCTTCCCGAGCTGTATTGGTCTTTGAGCAAAGTTTTGGTTTTTCTCACCTCTCCTTGATTTTTTGGTTTCCCCCCTTCAATCTGGGAGTGTTTCTTCAGTGCTTTAATTTTGTTGTCCGTTGTTATCCAGTTGTCAAGGGGTTCTGGAGCATCAAGCTCTCCTCTGGAACTGAGTGGGAGTTTTGCTCTTTTGGTTCTGGGGGTCATTATCCTCATTTACAGCTTTCTCCTTCATCTCTGGGGAAGAACAAGATGGTTGGTTTCTTGAGGATTGATACCTTGTTGGTTTGACCAGCAGTGCTGGGCACCTTCCTTCAGTGGCATTCGGAGTACCACTGAAGGATTGTGAAAAATCAATTGTGACTGGATTGTGAAAAACATGGTTGTCTCGGTCTATTTTTCAGAAGCTTCTGTCCATATTATATTGAGAAATGCCTGCGAATGTACAATTTCCAAAAGACAAGGTTCCCTAAATTTAAGAATATTTTATAATATTAGGTATTAAAATTATGGGTATGATTTTATTCACTTGGATCATTGGAGCCTCAAACCTGGGACCACAAATGTGAAGGCCTACCAAATGTACTAATTATTACCCATCTTATTATGATTTACAATTTATGACTAGGACAAAGATCACCTTAATACAGTACCTCCATATTCAGTAGTGCCCCAGGGAAAGCTTAAAGTTCCAACTATGGTAGATACCAACTAAATGTTACTTCTGTTACCCTTCCTTATTGTGGGTACTTACAGCACAGTTGGTAGGACTATGGGCTTCTGCTCTTGTGGTTCTGGATTCGAGGCTCTGATGGGACAAGTGAATGAAATGTCATTACCCAGGTTATTGTTGTTTGCAATTTATAGGTATAATGTTATGTTCTATTAAAAATATAACAATACTCTATACTGTATATATATATGTATTAGATTAAATACTGTATTGAAATTAGTGCACCAGATTGTTCACCAATGATTTCTCTATTGTGTGCTAGTCAAAATAAAGATTTCAGTGTGTTTTCTGCTATTTTTTTTTTTTATAAAAATCGGTGTTGAAAATGGATTTGCACACTACTGTACTTTCACAAAGTGCTTAAAAGTTATAATGAAAAATAGTCTCCTGGTAAGGTAAGCAAGATGCATGCATTTCATTGCAGTAGTTGTAGGCCCTCTTGAAGCAGGAAAAATGAAAAAAAAAAGTTTGCCTGGAGTTTGCCGAGGTCCTGATGGATCGATTGAAATCCCCCATGCAATGAATTGACTTCGAGTTTTCTCACCATACCACCATTACATTCCTTCCTACCCCACTGATGACTATTTTGATCATACATTAACAGGTTTATTGTGGATGTCCAAAATTGTATACAGTATTTAGAATAATGAGCTCGTCTTTGTTTTAAGATATTTTATTTGTTTATTGCAATTATATTTTTTATAATGTCAATCTTGATTGCATATCATAGATGCTGTATCTTGGACGAGAATATCCCCTGGGATATGACTACTTCAGGGAAAAGCTGAAGAAGGCTTTCCTCAAGAACAAGGATGTAACTGACCCAGAGCAACTGAAGATAATGATCGGACGAGGAGAGTTTGTGATCAAGGAAATCGAGGCATTATACATGCTACGTAAGTACAGAACATTGAAAAGAAGATATTATGACAATGAGCATGATAACAGAGCCAACAAGGATGCACAGTAGCTGTTAAAGAAATAATACAGTATTTACAAATGCCAATTATATAGAAAAGTGAAGTTGTATTAGTCCATACAGCAATAACAGTGAATTGAAGACTCGATTTATCAAGATGCACTCAGATATGATTCATTTTATGAATTGCAGTATTTGTAAATAAATATTTTTATGCTACCCAGTCTCAATACCATCTACCAGTATATCTTATAAATGCTGTAGTGGTAATACCTGTATTGTGTTCAATACAGTATTAATGATATCATATTATCAACCATTTGAAATGGTTCCAGTCTTGTTTCTGTAAAATCTCGGTGAAAAAATATATTTATATTATTTGCAATGTAATAGTTACAATTACATGAACGAGTCCTCATTCATTGCAGAGTAATTATAGTAGTACTGTATATACAATAAGGTATTTCATATTATAAGCAACAAATTCAAAAATGACGTTTTGTTGATTATGCTCATTCCCTTATTCCAATTGATATGGAAAAGACGTTTGCCAAATTTGAGGAAGATTGGGTAATATTTAGACATTGCACAATCTTCACACTTTTTAAATTTTACTCCAGTTCATATAAAGTATAATAATAATATATATTATGATTATATATGCTATGGAAACAAGATGCCAATTAATATTTTTATTATAAAATACATCCAACAAAACTAATAAAAAAAGCTGAAATTTAACATAACATTCATGTTAAAGCTTTTGTTCACTTGGTGATGGCTCTTCTGTGGTAGCAAATGATCCTCGCCAGTAAAAAAGGTTCTGCTGTTTATCCCCGACTAGTTGAATTTTTTTTTATCATAGCCATGCCCCTTTTCTGCCATGTCATTTACTATTTTAAGGGCAGTGATGGAGCTGCTTAGTGCATTGCTGTAGTATTCCCCCCATTCTCCAACCCTGAACAAATTAAAGATTGTATAGAGGGTGTAGAAATTGCTCGGGGCTTTCCCTTAAAGACTAGATTTTCCCTCTAAACATTTAAATTCTTTCTTCCATTCTGGTTTCTCCATATTCTGGAACATCTATTCCTTTTCTGTCATTGTTAACATTTATTTTTGATAAATACCAAAGGTGTCTCTTAGCTGCCTTCAAAACACATTCCTTGACATCTCTAACTAGATAACGGTTCAAAAGTTAAATCATGTGCACGTCACTCTTTGGTGCCCATCAACTCGGTTATCTCATGCTAAAAGCAGACATATACAAGCCTGACAAATGCGCTGCGTTTCTCGTTTCTTCATTTCTCGATCATTTAACTCCAGCAGTTAATTGAATAGGACAATCTTAAATGCACATATGGCCTTTGCCATCCCCCTCACTTGATGGAGGGATCCTGGAGCCTTGAATTTGAATTTGCTTTCAGACCACCCTCCAAGAAAGAAGAGGGACAGATGTAAAAAATTCTTTGTAATCTTCTCATGAAGGGTTTGGGATCTTTCTTTCAAGGCTTTTTGATGGTAAATCAACCATTTTCACACACTGGTCTTCTAGAAACCTTTGAACAGGCTCTTCATTCAACATGGCTGTACAGTATATTACTGTACTTCTTATCGACTATATCCCAACTTTTTTGACCTTACAAAATTTAAAGAAGTATTGAACCCCTAAATATTATTCAATGTCTAATATTTGACATATGGGTCAGTCAGATGAATAAAACCAAGGGAATGAGCAAAGTGATATGAAAATAGGAATTTTATTAAATTGAAATGCCGTAATGCAGCATACCTGTACTGCATTTTATAGTACAGTACTTGAAACTTCATCTTGAAAATTGTAAAAATATCTAAATATTTTAATTGACTGCAGATATTGCATCACAGAATTACTATAGATTTTTACACAAGTTAATTTGTTATAAATAATAATGGTCATCTTAACCAACTTTAGAATTGTCTTTAAATGCAAAATCTTCTGGAACTGGAAAATTCTGTACTTAAGCAACATTTAAACAAAATTTGCCTGCTATGTTATGATGCTTGTATTTGTCAGCTCTTCAGCATTCTTCATGTACTTAGCAACAAGTCAAAGAGTATCTCTATTCTTAGTGCAACCTGTTTAATGAAGGGGCTGACAACAGACGGGTAGCTTTAACTGTTGCATTGTGTGGCTCCTAAGTTATATGAGCACCACGATAAAATAATTTACAAGCTGACTGTAGTGTGTCTAGTAAGTCTCATGACATAATAGCTTTCCTTTGTTTAAGCCTGGCATAAGGTCTTCACATCTGCTAACTATTTTCATGGATTATCCTACAAGAGCATGGCTGTGAATGTGTGTTTTGGCTATCAGTCATGTGCCAAAACCCATTACTTTAGCACAAGAGTTAGGGGTAAAATACTCATACCTATTATTTTCTTAAAGCTGTACATACAGTAATGTTGCTTTTGTAGGTTTAAGAACAGTACTGTATATTGTTTTACTTGTACTGGCATAATTCTGCTTGTTTGCAGTGCAGAATGTTACTTGTTTATTAAAAATGTACATTTTCCTGAAGCCTGTTAATCCTGAATGATAATAAATTTGTGTGCGAGATGTAATATGGTTATAGAGTACGGTATATTGATACAAATTTTTACAGTACAGTATTACAAAATCCAGACATTGGAGATGTGATAAAGAGGTGTTGATGTATAGGTTTCCAATTGGCAGGGGCAGGAAAACTGTTAAGACTTATCAAGGTCACCCTAAGCCATTGACTGACCTTCCTCTGGATGTGTCCAACAACACTTGCCTTTCTCTCGGGTACATACTTACTGCTAGATGAACAGACATCAGGTAAAAGTAAGTACACAACACGTACAGAAAGTTATTGGGTATAAGATAGCAATAAAAACCAGTAAAAATATATATAGTACCAATAAGAATGGAAGGATAACTGTATTGTATAGAGGTACTCAAGTCTGTCTTGTACCCTTAACTCTATTTCCATTTCATTGCATATAAGCCATTGAATTATAACTGTGTTCTTCCTGAGACATAGCTAGGACCTTTAGTACTCTTTGTGTTGCAGGATATTCAAGTCTTCCAGCTTGGTTCTTTCTTTTGATAATTACTGTCTCCAGGGATATACAGTACAGTTTTAAGAAAGATTAATTTTCAGTTATGCTTATTGATTGTATACACGGCTCATATTTGTTCTTTCAGACCTCCAGTAAACAGACTATATCTTGGGAAAAACATTGCGGGCACCCCTCCTGGGTGTGAAAACCTTGGTATTGAGAGCAACCACAGGTAGCACATGATGCAGCAGCTCACAGCAACACCATGCAGTTTGTGCCCCCACATCACTTAATAATGATGAAATAAATAAGTGCAATGTTAGTGTCATAGTGTCTTGACTGTGATAGACTATGTACAAGGTTCAGATATGGGTGAACACAATGCTGGTTATGATGATCACAGTGCAAGGCAGACATCCACACCACAGCAGCCGTTTCGAAACTAGTGGAAAATGATTCATATTCATGATTTAGTGACCAAAATTTTGACGATAATAGCAGTGTTGTGGCTAGAGTTAGCAATGTGGATTGGGAAACATTTTGCCGAGTAAGGTAGCATTGTCAGCTGAATAGCATGTGGCACTATGCTGTGCATGCATTCCATTACCACACATAATAATAGTATATACCAGTAGTATAGTGTGATAACAGCAAAAAAATATTTTTTTATTCAAATTAATCATGCACCTCCTTGTAGAAATGTCCAGATTTTCATGATTGTGTCTTCGGTTCCTAGTGTCCTTTCAGGTCATTTGTCAATTAGAATCCTTGGCAAATCTTATACCTTCGATATTGCTCTCGTGTGCTTTTGTTCTCGTTTCAGCATCCTAAGTGATATTTTGTGCCTTTTGAATATCTAGCTACACTGATGTTGCTTCACAAGTCTCCCTTAACATAGTGCCTTATTTTGATAATTACTATAGTGTTCTAAGGATACAGTGTGCACATATTAGAGACAAACATATTTAAGCATTCCGACGTTTCACATTTTATTATACTGTACAGTGGAACCTCAGTTTTCGTATGCCTGTTTTCATATTTTTTGGGTCTTTTACTCGATTTCTTTGAAAAATTCATTTGGTACTCATTGGTTGCCTCGGTTTTCGGAGCTTGTTTATACACGTACGGGTCCACCGAGCATGTGGCACTTCAGTTTACCAGTGTCTCCCGCCTAATGATTGTGTTTGAATTCTTTGTGAAGAACTTCATTGTTCCTCCCCTCCCCCTTCCTCACTGTCTTCCATATGCCAACAAGTCCTCAATAAAGGTAAGGTACCTAAGTCTTATTCTGTATAAAATGTATTTTTTAGTCAATATATTTTGGGGTGTGGAATGGATTAATTTGATTTACATTATTTCTTACGGGAAAATTCGTTTCGGTTATCTTACTTTCGTTTTCGTGCCGTCTTTGGGAACGGATTAAATACGAAAACTGAGGTACCACTGTACAGTACTGTATATGGGGGAGGAGGGGAGGGGCGGGGGGATGAATACTGACACCGGAAGTTTGAGAGAAGTATTTTCCAATGAAAGAGAAGGTAGTCAATACAGTCTGATGAGTTCAAGGGAAAACATCAGTAGGAGGTGGGAGATGAAGAATGCCCTCAGTCCCCATCTGACTAAGGAAAGAGAGATCATGAAGGGAAACATTAGTAAAAAGAGAATAAACAAAGACAGCATCTTACAGGGTGGAGTGGGGGGGGGGTGTTACAGGTGCAATTTTTCAATTAAGTTCTGAGTGATGAAGGTGGGCAGGAAAAAACTTGCCAAGATAAACAGTATTTTGCCAAGCCAGAAGGCAAGCCAGAAGGGAAGAGGACAGCCAACAGAGCCTCTTGTTTTCAATACTAGTAACACTATTGTGCTGTGCCTTCCTGCATATCTGAAAAAAAATCTCGCAAATACCCTTCGTCCTCTTGATGTAAAAATGGCTTTTCAACAAGCCCACTTCGTAGTGATCTAGTTCACACTGCTGTTTCCAGTGCTGCTGGTGTCTACTCTTATTTTGTTTGTCGTGTCCTCTCATATACTTCGGTGAAAATGAAAAACAACACTTGTGTTCATCAAGTCTACAGACACAAAGAATGTTCTCTTCTGTCATGTTAGGGATTCACCCTTCAGCTTTGTCCTCTCTAGCCTCTCTCCTTTGTCTTATGCTACTAGGTTTTTTCTCTTCACCATTTGGCCTCTTATGGCTTTCCTTTAGTTTTCCTTCCTGTTTTTCTAACCCTTTTCTTTATACCATTTCCTATTCTTCTTTCACCTGATTCTCTTATTCTTACCTCCTGTTCTTATTACTCTCATCTTTCAAATCTTATTATTTTTTTTCATCTTACTCTTATCTTTTTCCTTCTCTTACATGCTCCTCACATTCTCACCCCTATTTATTTCTATTACACAACTTGATAATGGTCCAGGACGAACCAAAATATCAATTTTTCATTTTCTGACGAGTGGTTTTGCATATCTGCCCCAAGGAGATGTGTGATAATACGGAGTAAGGACTTTAGACAACCCGTCCTCAACTCTAGTCCATTATATCCAGTAGTCGACCCCACAGACGCATTCATAAACTTTAACATGCTTTTCATTCAAAGTGAGAATTTTCTCAAATATAAATTATTATTATAATAGTATATTGTGCATATATAGGCATAGGTTAGGTGTTTAGGTTCTGTTGGCAATTATTTATATTTGTAATACATGGGTGAAGCATTTACAGCGTTGTGGTTCGAACAAAATTCGTCAGTGTAGCACTTGTTCCGGAAGTGTACGAACGAAATCAGTTGAGTCATGTGAAAACTGTTTTTCATTCATAAACAGGGTTTGGCGGGTGCATGGAATCACTTTTGGGTCTTTGTTTGGAGGACGGGCTGCTTTAGAGCATTCAGTCTGGAAGCAAGACATGGGGTGACCAAGACAGGCGGGTGTCAGAGGCTCAAACCAAGACTTTTGCAGCGTCTTTATTCTCAAAGAGACAACACGCCATCAGGCAAGTTATTTCTCTTGCATTTTAGGGCCTTGTAATTCTGTCGCCCTCTTTTATCATCTTCCTTGCAATTAGCTGGTTTGTACGAATAAAATGAACAATTTACTATAATATTACCTTTAATTTTCCTGTAGATGAAAAGTTATTAGGTAAACTATTCACCGTTTCCTATCATTGAACTGCACAAAACACTGATATATTTATAATAAGTATCTCAAGTACGGCACTGGTCATATAAGCTATAGTCAAAGCAGGTCAAGATTAGAGAGTCGAGCAGATCAACAAAATTAAGCATTACCTAGTATAAAACACGATTATACTAGTCATCAGCCATCCACTGAGCAAATATGAGATTCACTGCTGCTTGTACATCTCCATTTGTGGCTTGTAAAGCTTGACGACTAAGATCTTCATCAGGGATGCCCATCTCTCTCATGAGCTGTAAAGACTCATCAAGATTGGGAATCTGGATGCTGGCAGACGGAGGACCTGATGAGGACGAAGATGAAGACGGACCCGAGGCCTAAAAAAATAAAAAGGGAACTTAAAATAAAACTTTCAAAGTTTTGTCAAGTGTAATGGAAGAAAAATTATAAAAAGATTAGAAAATAATTCATATAACTAATTGCAATACTGAAAATATTTTGGATACACACAGGCAGCAAAGCATCAAATCTGTTATGGATACCAAGATGGCCCGCTGCAAATCTCTAATCTTCACTAAATTACTAGAGCCCTTTCCAGATTTTCATGTGTTCTAGATTTTAAATAATGTCTAATTTTCCCACTGTAAATTATAATTAACTATTTTGCATATTTAAATAAGGATTGTATTATAAAATCACTATACAGTATAATAACAAATATATTATCTTTTCATTGTACAGCCACTGGTAGTAAAATATGGTATAATGAAAAGGATTTTCATCTGATGCTGAAACAATATGTACAATGCTTTAAAACTTATTCTTTTCTTTGGAATACATATGAAATTAAAAATAATCTTCAGGGAGTAATTAAGCTAAACCATAGCAATTTGGATGATAATGTTAATTGTCAGATGATCTTGACCTGCCACTAGCACTGAGGTACAGTATTTTCAACATTTAAATTTGACAAATTGAGTGATCCGCAATAGTTGAAGGTCCTGTTTCTGAATCTCTAACCTTCATTTCAAGCCATTATGTACAATCAAATTTTAAATATTCTCATACCTCTTTCATATATCACTGAAAAGCACCTCAGAATGTCCAGATCACAAGTGTTGATATATTTAGGGGAAAACAAAAATAGAAATGCTAGGATAATGCAGGGTCAGCTTGCATTTACACACACACACACGGAAAACATAGCACATGTGAGGGCATAATACAGACTAACTAGGACAAAAACTATAGGTACACTATTGATGTATATGGCAGCAAATTCTTCAAGTTAATATAAATCATCTAAGCTGTAGCTTGGCTAAATAAGTATTGGGGGTTTGGTTTCTGAGCCCCTAATGTGCCTCTAACCTTTTCACCAGATTATTTCGCTCATTTATTATGCACCCCATACCAATGACACACGTGCATTGATATGCAAGCACTAATCAACCCTTATAAAATGTTTACGCTATTGGAAAATTGTCATTTAACTAACCCGACTTGCAGAGGCAGCCAATGCATTCTGCAGAGCATTGCTGAACATTTCATGGGTGATAGGTCCTGGGGCTGCAGGGGCACCAGCTGATGGAGCTGGAGTATTAAAAGGTGTGGTGGTAACAGCAGATGGGGTTGTGGGAATACTGCGGGGGGCACTGGAAGGAAGTCTATTACTGCTGCCATTGGTGCTATTACCTGTTTAGAGAAAATAATTGTCCAAAACACTGTTCAAAATAACTCTTGATTATGATGACCAAACCACACACTAGAAGGTGAAGAGACGATGACGTTTCGGTCCGTCCTGGACCATTATCACTGTACATACTCAAATGTTCTAAACTTTCTAACAAACGTGACCTAAAATAAGCCCACCCATCCTTCTTCTCTTTCTTACGTTTCCATTCTTACGCCTATTATTACCTCCTTACACCCTTTATTACACCTATCCCTTCCGTATGTTACGCCTTGCTCTTACCTTCCTCTAAGTTTTCCTCCTCACCTCTCTCTCTCTCTTGCCTTACTTATGCCCTTGCCTCTCTCATCTCATCACAATCGACTTGATAATGGTCCAGGAAAGACCGAAATGTCGTTGTCGCATTTTCTAGTGTGTGGTTTGGTCAACATTTCTTTAGCCACGTTATTGTGACTCATCTGCAACTCTTGATTATGTTAATTTTTAAAATTACATTACAATACTGTATTTAAAGAAAAATATATTTACAGTACAGTATGTATAAAACATCTTGAAATGTTACTTTCTTAATTCTTCAATAACTTATTTTAATCTTGTTGTTCTTAATTTATATTCCTCAGTGCAACACCACTAACCTGTGGCACTGGCAAGAGCTGCAGCAAGCTGAGCTGGTGTAATTGGCTGAAAAGGTATCGAGCCGCTAGCTCGACTTCCACCAGCCGAGTCTCCAGACTGTAAAATAATATAGCAATGACAATATTGCACGGTACTTAAAATTAAAGTTTCATTAAGATTAACTGTTGTTACTAAGAAATTAAAAATCAAATTGACTATAGGCTTCAATTACAAAAAATAGTTCAAGTTACATTTCAGACATTTATCATGCACAGCTTAACCGTTGCACTGCGCCCGTTTTTGGCAAAAACTTCATCGTGCTATTGTTAAGACCATATTTTTGTTAGTTTTTATAAATGTTAAAAGTTATTGTCAAAATATTTTTAAACTTAACTATTTTCATTTCAAAATACAGTGATGAAAACATTAAAATAATGTTTTGTATAGACTAATTAAAAAAAAGGACAACTCTCAAAACAACATTTGTTGGCCGGCACAGTTGAGGGCGTTAATACAGTATAGTATACTCATTCAAATTTATTCAGCTTCTTGATCCATTTGATCAGCAAATGATCCATTTATTTTTTTATTTATTTTTTTAACCCAACACTGATCACCTGATAGTGGATGAACTAACTCAAAATTGAGCACAAAGTATAGACTTCTATTAAACATTTTGCAATTTAAAAATGAGGAATTGGAACAGGCTGCACTTCACCTGATTTCTCGCTTTCCTAAGAAAATGTTACTCAGCCTTGAGGATGAATAGATTTACTTTAAAGAATATGTGAAACTAAATTTAACTGCAGCTGATACTGAAACAATGTAGTTTTGAACTGCTTATGTTTCAACAAATTGGCTCAAAAACCTCATCTTTTCAAATCTATATATTTCTCCACAAATGTGCCTATGCCTGATGGTATCCAACTACAGTGGGAAGACATAATTTTCTGCTCTAAAACAATCCAAGATCTACCCGAGGTCAAGAATGAAAGATGGCAAGTTGAAATGCTCTGACAATGTAGATCACAGAAGAGTATTTCCCCAGACTTAAATGGCCAGGAAATTATTCATGAATTAGCAAGTCAAAAATGTCAGCAATTTAAATTTAGGATTTAGTTGTTTTTTATTATTACAGTATTATTATTTCTACTTCTGTAGAAAAATTAAAAAATTATTTTTAGACATTTTTGATGGGTCTCTGGGACTTTGGCCTATGTAACCTAAATGGTTATCTGCTGGTGGCCTGTGGTGGTGGTACTGTTTTCTAATAGCTATCATAGTGATGTTTTTTTGAGCTTGGTGGTGGCTATAGTTGTTTTGATTGTAGTGCTTGTGTAAGTGATTATGGGTATGGTGGTTATGATTATTGTAAGGCTTATAGTTATTTTAGTATAATTGTTATGGTGGTGTTTATAGGATTGATTGTGGTGCCTGTGGTAGCCATTATGATCGTAGTAGTGGTGGTGTTTATGATTGAAACTGATGGTGGTGATGATTGTGGTAATGACTTCGCAGTGTGGTTGTGGTAGGGACAATTGTGGTTCTGGGTGATAACAGTGGAAGTATTTGGAGATGATGGTGTTTGAGGTGGTGGATGTGGCAGTTTTGATGGTGACTGTGGTGGATGACAAATTATACCTGAGGTTATAGTGATTATAGTGTGGTTATGTATATTTGGTTGAGGCAGTGGTTGAAGTGCTGAATAACATTGGTTGCAGATACAGTATAGTTATTAAGTGGTTGTTGTGGTTGTAGCAGCAATTTCCATTGTAGTGGTGGTCATAGAAGATATTATTTATTATTATGTAGCATTTGAACAGTGGCTTTGAGTGGTTAACAGGTTGTGGGGTGGCAGTGGTGTGTAATGGAGGAGTGTGGCAGAGGGTGGGAGTGTGTGGCGTATGGCAATCGATGATGAAATCATGTTATTATAGCAACCAGAAAATTATAGCTACCAGAAAATATTGAAACTGAACAGTGGGACTCCATCCCTGGACTCATCCAACCACTTGGGCTTGACGGTAGAGCAAGAGTCTCCCCTCCTGTAGGTTGGCATTCAATCCCTGACCATCCAAATGGTTGGGCACCATTCCTTCCCTTGTCCCATCCCAAATCTATATCCTAGTCCTTTCCAAGTGTTTAATAGTAGTAATGATTTCTCCTTCCGTTTCCCAACTAACTTTCAGTCAGGTAGCACTGACTTAGGAGTTTGGAAGGCACCCACAGGCCATGATGAACTAAAATGATTATAAAATACACACAAAATAGTGACCTTCCTTGCATATCTAAGTGTGGTGGTGTGCATGCATGTGACTTCACATGTATTAACTGTGTACATGAATATCCAGTATGTGTGTGCATGTACATAAATATATGTACTTTTATTGAGTATTTATCAGAATATTACATGTTTCATAGAAAATGTTCCATAAAAGCCATCTTGGTTAATGCATAGCTCACCTGTTCCGCATCCATCTCATCATCATCAGAGAGTGCGTCCATGGAGTAGGAGACGTGGTGGGAGCGACGAGGGGATGTGGTTTCATTCGTCATTAAAGAAGCTACGTACTGCGCGACTCTTCCCACAGCTGGCTGAGCATCAACAACGCTGCAAGAATCATCATCCAATTATTCATCCCATTCATTATCTTCAAACTATTATATGGAAAGAAGATTATTTTTGAGTTGCACATTATCCCTATTGAACTTCAGGTGCAGCACATGAAAGGAGATAGAATAATACCTTGTCGCATTTATTTGTTAAACATATTATATACAAAACCCAAGAGAAGATAACAAAATCTACAGTTCAGTTATAACATATGTTCAGCAAGATAAAATGAACTGAGACTTTCATATAACACTTATCTATTCACTATACTCAAAATTATAAAATGATCTTTCATCATCCTTGACATGTACGTACTTGCATACACAGTTTTTTGTCAATCTATTATGTTTGTCATTGTTCTGGTATAGAGGCCTGCCTCTTCCTCCTAGTATCAAATTAACTCACTTCACCACTATCATCATTCAATTGTTCAACATGTCCAAACCATCTCAGTGTACTCTCCTCACTCTTGCAATTTATATATATATATATATACTGTATATAAAAAAAATCCACACCTACCTATATTAGTATTTAAAATTTTGAACATACAGTACTATACAAACATCTGGCAATATCTATTCCTATCTTTACTTACTTTTAATCAAGGCTTTCATTGCACCATCCACTTTTCTTCCCTGACCAATCATACGCTAAATACACTGGTTTACAAAATGTTTATATTTTGTCACAATGTGACAAATAATATAATTTAATGTCACATATGGAGAAATATGATCTTTACCGTATTTTTCATGCTGAATTTTTTCATGCATGAATATTATTAGTTTATTGTATTATGCAAATTTTGTGTGACACAGGTTAATTTTGATTAAATCATATATTTATATATATTACAAATATATTATAAACTATAAATTAACTAAAGGGTGATTTCTGATGACTTCCTGGTTTATTTTGCTTGTATGACATCTAAAACTAGAGCTCCACCTGCCCTGGTATAATTTTTCCTAGCTTGGAATGTCTTGAAGAAAACGCTCACCGTAATCGGCCGACAGTGCCCAGATTTTCCAGAAAGAAATCCAAAAGTCAATCCAAGAAATGGATTTTTAGTTACATATTACATCCCAAACCTTCATACGAGCTCTATTTTATACTATTATTGATAATATACTAGAAATAATGCTTTGAATTATGATAAAAAGTTTAATTTTAGAACATATTATTCACCTGGTATCATTGACCTCTATTCCTATTTTCTATCACCACATCTTATGCTCTTGTGGCAATTGAGAAGGGTGATCAGGATGCCCAACCTCTATTTATTTAAGAGCCCATTTTTGAGTCACATCCTTTCATGTATGGAGGGGCTTTCACTTTTTCTTTGGCAATCACTTCTGGGCTGGATTGAATAATCTCTTTCCACTAACACCCAAAGCACAATAATTCCCAGCAGAGATCCTTCAAAATTCCATGCTCTACTTGAAGGAGTAACTAAATATTACAATTCAGAATAGAAGCATTTTATATTAACTCCTGTAGTTTTAATAGCTTACGTGCTTAAATTGTCGGGATTTGTAAGACCCATAAATAGCTCTGGATCTTGCAACATGGCGAGAGCTGTAGGTTCGCTTCGGGCAATAGGACAAGAGGATAATATCTTCTCTACCATCTCTGGGCCACGAAGTTTCTGAAAATGGAAAAACACAATCTAACTAAATTTATATATGGATAAAATTTATTGTTCACAAAGGATAACTTCTGACTCATCTCATGGCACTTTGATTCTGTGGTCACCATGGTGGAACTTGCACAATTAAGTGTTAATTTAATATTTTAGAGGATCCTATTTTACAGCAGTCCTAAAAAAAAAAAAAAAAAATCACCTCACCTGGATAAAATCTCGAAAATTTGGGCTTGTTGCAACATTTCTGAGGGACACCAGTAACGTCTGAACCTCTGGAAGACTCAGCGGTACTGCTGTTGGCGTAGATTCCTCTTTAAACAATAAAATGTCACTTAGAATACACATTATAAAAGTATTAATACTGTAATGTTAAATGTACATAGAGTTATGCATATGTGGAAAAATGATCTTAAAACATAGTGCTGAACTTACATTCTATTTTCAAAATATTGAAGGTCTTTTGTGATGAAGAACACGAACTTATAATATGGATCTCATTTAGTACAGCCATGTGTGGCTGTCTGATACAACATATGACAAATGAAAATACAAAGCAGCAATGATCAATAAAGAACTTCACTGCCTACACAGAACGACCAATTGTCCCAGTACAGACAAAGCCTGCTCATACCGGTAAAAATATATTTCTACGTCACTTCATGTGGCAAAACCTGTGACTATATTTAACAAACACCACCTACATTATGTCTAAAATGTGTAAATGTACCAAGAGTGCTGTTAGAAATGCACGTTTTCTGAACCGTCACTCCAGAAGTCATCTTCAAGAATGGTGTCTTCCATGATGATCAAGATAATTCACCACTCTTTACACATCGGAAACAGTTCCTTTCTTGAGGTTACCTTGAGATGATTTCGGGGCTTAGTGTCGCCGCGGCCTGGTCCCCGACCAGGCCTCCTATTTATTACACTCCCCCCCCCAGGAAGCAGCCCGTAGCAGCTGTCTAACTCCCAGGTACCTATTTACTACTAGGTAACAGGGGCATCAGGGTGAAAGAAACTCTGCCCATTTGTTTCTGCCTCCACCAGGGATCGAACCCGGAACCTCAGGACTACGAATCCGAAGCACTGTCCACCCAGCTGTTAGGCGCCCTTACAATAATGGGTCCTTTACGTCCTTTACAATAGTGACAGTACAACCCGACTTTGACTAGAGTACTAAAGACTTTGGGATAGAATGAATATCTGTCCATTTGAGCCTATCCAGTTTCCCTGGACAAAGTGCGGGGGTTTTCTTTAGTTAAATTCTGTCATCTGGTATGTTCTATACAATATCTAAAGACAAGACATCTCCCTCATGGGAGCTCTACAGTATGAAATGGCTCCGGTAGAAGTTTCCTCAGGAGCCTCTATCACCCCACAAATCTTTCACTTTTTCAGCTCCCTTATCTGTCTCTCCCCTTCCCCACATTTTTTTCATATATATTGTTCTACTCTTCCCTTCCAAGACATCAATCATACCTCTACACATGAAACATTTATTTATCACTTTTATTGAGAAGGGTGTACAAGCTTATCAGGCTTCTATATGTCATGACAGGGAGCAATATACTGCCTCAGGGGTTCTTTCTGAATTCCCATACAAATAGTCTTTCTTTTCATTATATTATTTGCCTCTCCTATCACTTATTTCATTATTCAATCAAATATTACCATGTGACTACATGCTCCTGATTGGATAAAATGGCCATGTGACTCCACTCTCAAAGCTCCTAAAATGTTTCAGGATCTGCTATTTTAATACATATATGAACAAAGGAAATACAGCACCCGTATTGATTACTGTATTTACAGTCATATAAAATTGCCCTAATACTAACCTAAATTATTACACAAGATGGCTCTACAACAGTTTTTATATGAGAGTAGCAAAATAGAGATCAGAAATATGGCTTTGACTTTAATGAAAAACTTCTTTCAGAATGGATCATTCTGCTGCTCTTCCAAGCGAGCAAAATATGCTCAAGTAATGTTTAATCAACATAGCATCAATGTCATCAATGTGTTTCAATGTTACCTTGGCATTAGTTACCCAGGAGGTTGCTCCTTCTATTACTGCCCCTTTCCCTAGGTTATGCTCATGTGGAGGTCCATTGAGTCAGGTGGTGCCTGAAGTGACCTGGGTGATGGGAGGGGGTGGGCGCTAAAGTGGTGTGTGCAATTACCTAAGTGTAGTTATAGGATGAGAGCTACGCTTGTGGTGTCCCGTCTTCCCAGCACTCTTTGTCATATAACACTTTGATATTACTGACATTTTTGGCTTCCACCACCTTCTCACCTAACTTGTTTCATCCATCTACCACTCTGTTTGCGAAAGTGAATTTTCTCAAACGGTATTTCTTTGGCAGCTTTGCTTAGTTAGTTTAAATCTATGACTTCTTGTTCTTGAAGTTCTAGGTCTCAGGAATTCTTCCCTATTAATTTTATTGATTCCCGTTACTATTTTGTACATAGTGATCATGTCGCCTCTTTCTTCTATCTTCTAGTTTTAACATATTTAATGCCTCTAACCTCTCCTCATAGCTCATGTCCTTCAGTTCTGGGAGCCATTTAGTTGCATGTGTTTGCACCTTTTCCAATTTGTTGATGTGCTTCTTAAGATATGGGCACCATACAATCACTGCATATTCCAGCTTTGGTCTAACAAAAGTCGTGAACAATTTCTTTAGTATTTCACCATCCATGTATTTAAAAGCAATTCCAAAGTTAGAAAATAAAGCATAGGCTCCTCGCACGATGTTCCTTATGTGGTCCTCGGGTGATAATTTTCTGTCTATCCCTATCTGTGTATTTACTATTTGTGCCTGCAGAATTGAGCTATTAGCTCTTGGACTCCACCTTTGTAACCAATTTATTTTTCCTCTATTATGGCTACTACATATATTTCTAACACACGTGCACATGCACACATCCCAGGAAGTAGCCCGTAGCAGCTGTCTAACTCCCAGGTACCAATTTACTGCTAGGTGAACAGAGGTATCAGGGTGAGGTATCAGAGAGACTGCCCATTTGTTTCTGCCTCTGCCGGGGATCGAACCCGAGCCCTAAATACTACGAGCCCCGAGTGCTGTCCACTCGGCTGCGAAATCCCTGTGTGTGTTTGTGTGCGCTAGTGGCATTTGGAGTAGATTTCCAAACAGGTCAACTGATAGTTGAGTCAACATTATATACTATAAATATACTTCAAGTTACTGTATTGAAAACAAACTTAATGACATTTGACTTACCACACTTAGGCAGGCAGTGAATCATAGTTCCCGATGTTATTCCTGCATCCTTAAGAGTATCAGAGCCTTTAAGAACCACACCGCAGTGGACTAACTCTGCAAAGATATAATAAACTTAATTTCATATACACAAGAGATAGTTCATTATTTTTTTTAAAGATAATGCCCTGACCATACTTAACTGGGCCAACAAAAGCATGTTACAGTATACTGAAAATAAAGATCAAGCCATAAAACTTTCTCCAAAACCTTTTCTTTCTGTAAAGAATCACTGATATTTTTACTAACACAAAACTAAACTAACAATATGATTATAAAAATATAGCCATCAATTTTCCAGCATCCAAATCTTATCCTTTTGTCAAATATTTTCTATGAAATTTTGTGGGAACCCAATTCAATAGATATTTAAGGAGATATGAACCCATATCCATTTTCAAAATAAAACTTCTAATGCCACCGAGTCAAACTCTGACCTCCACTGATTAGTATTTAATTCACACAGTTTTGGGGTTGTACATTAATGCGTAATGTTTTTGGTGTTCAGTATGGTGTTGAAGTGTGTCTTACAGCTCTTGTTAAGAGCTTTAAGAACTAAAGTGACCATTGTTGGGAGATTCATTACCTGCAGTTATCTGCCATAAATGATGATACAGCAGCCTCATTCAGGCAATTACAATGTCATGCTGATGAATTTTTTATGATGTTCATAATGTCTAGTTCTCAGTTCTAAACATATTATACTGTATTAGTGTTTTTCTGCCCTTTGAATGTCATACCTAGGTTTAATTCAATTTCAGGTACAGGCATACCTCAGTTTAAGAGTTTAATTGGTTCCTGGAGACGCCTCGTATTCCGAAAACTCGCATTCCGAAGCTAATTTCCCCATAAGAAATAAAGGGAAATGAATTAATCCGTTCCTGACTACCCCAAAAACCCCACATCAAACTAAATTTTTATACCTAATTCATCTAAATAAACCTACAAAACTATGTTCAAGTTATTACTTACCTTGCTGTTGAATGCTGTAGGCATATGGAAGATGGTGAGGAGGTGGGAAGAAGAGAGGAGTTACTGTTTGGAAGGGGAGTCCCCTTCCATTATCACATCAGGCAGTGAGGACTTCACTGGTATGCACACTCTGGCACATTTTGCCTGCATACCACTAGGACTTGCTTGTTTTACTAAGAATTTGTCTAATGACACTTGTTTTTCCCTACATTTTAACACATGCCTGTAGTAAGACATCACATTATCATTTAAAAGGTCAATGCAACGGCCTGCTACAGCTTTATCTGGGTGAGTTTTTTCAACAAAACTTTGCAGTTCTTCCCATACTTGACACATTTTCTTAATCAAGAAGGGACATCCTCTACTGCCTCTACTCACAGCTATTTTCTTAGGTTGAACCTTACCAATGGCTTTCTTGAGACCCATGGCAAGATATATAATGACAATTTTTATGCTCAAATGGCAAAAAAACGATAAAAAACTGTAAATCCTTGTGAAGAATTCAGGTGGGATAGTCACTGGACACGAGACACTGGTAAACTGAGGCGCGATCGCCATGCCACCACGTGCCAGTCGGCCTGTGCACGTATCAACAAACTCGCGTTCCGAGGTAACCCTCGCCTTCCGAGACATATTTTCCGAGGAATTCCTGCTCGTCTTCTGAAAAACTCGCATACAGGGACACTCGCATTCCGAGGTACCACTGACTGTATATTACAGGCTTATCTATATCATGTTGGATAAAGTCTATGAGAGATAGTATCCATACAAAGGCGATTCTGAAATCGCTTTTACATCATACATATATTGACAAACGGCAGTTAGAAAGTGGAAATCGGTACTACAGTGGTACCTCGGAATGCGATTGTCCCTGTATGCGAGGTTTTCGGAAGGCGAGGTGTATTTACTCCAAAAATTTGTCTCGGAAGGCGATGGTTACTTCGGGAGGCGAGTTTGGACGCGAGTTTGTTGATACGCATACAGCCGACCTAGCGCGTGGTGGTTCGGCGATCGTCGCCCCTCCGCCCCTCAGTTTATTATTGTCTCACACTCAGTGACTACCCCCACATCAATTCTTCTCGCGGATTTTCAGTGTTTTGTTGGATTTTTGGTGATTTGTCTATACAATTTGTTATTATATATCTCACCATGGGTCCCAAGAAAGCCAGTGGTAAGGATAAAGGCCAGAAAGCTCATGTGAGGATGACAATAGAGGAGAAACAAGAGATCATTCGGAAGCATGAGAACGGTACACGTGTTGTTGAACTTTGTAGGCAGTACAACAAAGCCACATCAACAATATGCACTATACTTAAGAAGAAAAATAAGATTATGGGTGCTAAAGTGGCAAAAGGAGTAAGAACATTAACGGCACAAAGACCACAAATACTTGAAAAAGTGGAAAAGTTGTTATTAATTTGGATACACGACAAGGAGTTGAGGGGTGATAGTGTTTCGGAGGCCATTATTTGTGAGAAAGCCAGGGTGTTGCACGAAGACCTTCTAAAGAATACCCCTGCAACGAGTGATGCAGATAAGAAAGAGTTTAAGGCAAGCAGGGGCTGGTTTGAAAAATTTAGAAAGAGAAGTGGTATCCATAGTGTTACAAGGCATGGGGTTATGTGATGTGATTATGGAAGGGGACTCCCCTTCCAAACAGTAACTCCTCTCCTCCTCCCCCCTCCTCACCATCTTCCATACGCCTACAGCACTCGACAGCAAGGTAAGTAATAACTGGAACACAGTTTTGTAGGTTTATTTAGATGAATTAGGTATAAAAATTTAGTTTGATGTGGGGTTTTTGGGGTAGTCAGGAACGGATTAATTCATTTCCCTTTATTTCTTATGGGGAAATTAACTTCGGAATGCGAGTTTTCGGAAGGCGAGGCGTCTCCAGGAACGGATTAAACTCTTATTCTGAGGTATGCCTGTATTGAATTTGGACAAACCTGAAGTTTTTGTACTAATCTTTAAAAAAAAAATACTTAACCTAACCTAATGTTCCTAGGCCTAATATAGTTCATATATGTGCTATACTAGTACTAGGAATATTTAAATTTGTTTTTTAGGTTAATTTTTTCCTATAAAGTGAATAGTACCAAATTCTACTATCTAATTATTCATTACATCAATATATGTACGATATGTACTGTCACACAAAAGTACCTATCTAAATCTAAATAGTAATAGTACCTCGTAAATCTAAACAGGAGGATGTGTTGCTATATTTACTTAACTGCCTGAAACACTATGCTTGTTAGTAGCTTTGTAAGAATGTAGTACAGTACTCAAACACCAGTGTAATGTACTCTCACAATCCAACGTACCTTCTTGTATATAAATAAATAAAATCAATAATAAATAAATAAACGTGTTGGGTAAACTTTGGCAAATCTCTGGCACTATTTTGCTAATTGAGTCATCTCGAACCCGAAACGCTACGTGTGCTAGTGGCGTTACAAGAACGTAAAATCATCATCATTACTATGTACTCTGTTAACCCCCAATGTACCTTCTTGTATATAAATAAATAATAATAATATTAATTAATCTTGAGTTTGCAGGGAAGTCTGGGGCCCAGAGGCAGGTCACCACCTTCATAATCTATTAAATCTACCTCCAGTTTGGAGAGTAGATGCCACAATAAATGTGGCAAACAGCAATTAATCTCCTTAGTACTCAAAAAATAACTATACTAAAGGTTTGGCTTCGAAAGAACGCAAAATACATAGATATAAACAAATTTGCGACGTCAGTAATGCCACTCGCCAGAAACTATACTTACGTATCTTGTCAGCCGTCGTCTTGCTCTTGCTAGCTGCCTGTTCTCTAATGGTATCTACCGTGTCGCTTAAATTAACATTATTTAGAGTAATTTTCTCTAATTTCGTCGAGTTAACACGGAGCCCCAGATGGACCGTCGCCATCTTTGTTTGGCTACGTCACTTGGTACACTGGACGGTTCGCACCAGGGTTGCCAGCTCCAAATGGCTGTAAGTAGCGAGCTGACGGTCACCAAGTAGCGAATTTCTAATAAGAGTAGCCCAATTTTTGGTTTAGTGACTGATACGGGTTTCAAAGTAATATATTTTGATATATAGAGTACACTACACGATGTTAATTGTTTTATTAATATTATTTCTGCACACACACACACAGAGGAATCTGTACACCAGTTGATTGACAGTTGAGAGGCGGGACCAAAGAGCCAAAGCTCAACCCCCGCAAGCACAATTAGGTGAGTACACACACATATATAATTAATATATTTGCACATTATATACATATACATATACATACACACACATATATATATATATATATGTCGTACCTAGTAGCCAGAACTCACTTCTCAGCCTACTATGCAAGGCCCGATTTGCCTAATAAGCCTAGTTTTCATGAATTAATGTTTTTTCGACAACCTAACCTACCTAACCTAACCTAACCTAACGTTTTTGGCTACCTAACCTAACCTAACCTATAAAGATAGGTTAGGTAGGGTTGGTTAGGTTCGGTCATATATCTACGTTAACTGATTCAGATTCAGATGTTTATTCAGGTAAGGTATATACATACAAGTGATGTTACATTAATGGATTGATATATAGATAGAGCTAGTACATACAATGCCTAAAGCCACTATTACGCAATGCGTTTCGGGCAAGAAAAACATTAATATCTAGAACTTAATACTAATTGAGCATAAAGAATAAAAAGTGTTGAGAACAAATACAAATAAAGATAAAAAAAAGGGGGAACATGACTGAAAAAGCAGCACAAATACAATAGGTTGACAAACAGTGTTGATTAAAAAAAAAGAAAATAACGGACATGGGTTGACAATAGAGGAGTGAGGTAGGTTACAGGGAATTTATTAGGTAGTGTTTAGTTTTTATCTTAAACTGGTTGAGAGAGGTACTGTCTTTAACATGGTTGGGAAGGTCATTCCACATTCTGGGCCCCTTGATTTGTAGAGCATTTCTGGTTTGAACTTTAACTCCAATAAAAAAAATTGACCTCATACATAATGAAATGGGTAGCTTTATCATTTCATAAGAAAAAAATTAGAGAAAATATATTAATTCAGAAAAACTTTGCTTATTAGGCAAATCGGGCCTTGCATAGTAGGCTGAGAAGTGAGTTCTGGCTACTAGGTACGACATATATATATATATATATATATATATATATATATATATATATATATATATATATATATATATATATATATATATATATATCGTACCTAGTAGCCAGAATGCACTTCTCGGCCTAGTATGCAAGGCCCGATTTGCTTAATAGGCCGATTAATTTTCTCCATTTTCAATAAATTGTTTCTTATTAGTTTATTTGTATCATTAATATTATATTATATTACGAACATAAATTATTTACTTAGTTATGTTAGTTTAGGTTAGGTTAGGATAGATTAGGCTAGGTTAGGTAGGGTTGGTTAGTTTCGGTCATATATCTACGTTAGTTTTAACTCAAATAAAAAACAATTTATTCATACATAGTGAAATGAATAGCTTTATCATTTCATAAAATTGAAAAATATATAAATTCAGGAAAACTTGGCTTATTAGGCAAATTGCGCCTTGCATAGTAGACCGAGTACTGCATTCTGGCTACTAGGTACAACATTATATATATATATATATATATATATATATATATATATATATATATATATATATATATATATATATATATATATATATATATATATATTAACCTAAAAGGAGTACCACCTCTGGTGCAAGTGTAGGAACCCTTAACTTAGCCTCGGAGCAGAAAATAAAGAGTACCCAGAGAAGACCTTGTGGATCCTCACTGAACACTGATATTTTCTTCTTCTACCACCCCTATTCTTTTAGTATGTGTGTATATATAAATCTAACTTTATTTTAAAATTTCATTACACAAAGAGGGTAATGCACAACCTGAAGCCCAAGTGACACCCCCTGGAGCCCGACCAGTTGTGTAACGAAACCCCGACCAGTTCAAACAACATCCGAAGCACAAACATACACGAACTGAAGTCCGACTATGCACAACCCAAGCCCAAGTAATACCCCCAAAGCCCGACCAGTTATGTAACCGGAGCCCGACCAGTTGTGTAACCGAAGCTCGACCAGTTGTGTAACCGGACCCCAACCAGTTGTGTAACCGTAAGCCTAGCAAGTATACATCTCATCCAACCCCCACCAAGCTAAACAGTCCCAGACCACAACCAAACTCCATTCCTAGCTCGACCAAACAAAAATCTCCTTAGCACCCTCCACTTGCCCTAAACACCAACTATTGACCCATAGCAAACAATTGAACTATATACAAAAAAAAGAAGCCTGAATATCTAGGAAACATAAACATAGAGCCTTAGCAAACAAACCTGGAGCACTAGTACACATACAACCACTGAAGCACAACCATGCACGAACCGAAGCCTGACCATGCACAACCCATAGCCCAAGTGACACCCCCGGAGCCCGACCAGTTATTTAACCGGAGCCCGACCAGTTATTTAACCGGAGCCCGACCAGTTATTTAACCGGAGCCCGACCAGTTGTGTAACCGAAGCTCGACCAGTTGTGTAACCAGACCCCGACCAGTTGTGCAACCATAAGCCTAGCAAGTATACATCTCATCCAACCCCCACCAAGCTGAACAGTCCCAAAGCACAACCAAACTCCATTCCTAGCTCGACCACACAAAAATCTCCTTAGCCCTACCTAAAACCCTCCACTTGCCCTAGACACCAACTATTGAGCCATAGCAAACAATTGAACTATATACACAAAAAAGAAACCCAAATTTCTAGCAAACATATAAACATAGAGCCCTAGCAAACAAACCTGGAGCACTAGTACACAAACAACCGCTGGAGCACAACCATGCACGAACCCGGAGCCTGACCATGCACAACCCAAAGCCCAACAAGTCACACCCCCGGAGTAATGTAATCGAAACCCGACCAGTTGTGTAACCGGAGCCCGACCAGTTGTTTAACCCAAGCCTAGATGAACGAACCAAACAACCTCTGGATCACAACCATGCACGAACCGAAGCCCGACCATGCACAACCCAAAACCCAACACCCCCGGAGCCCGAGTTATTTACCGGAGCCCGACCAGTTATTTAACCGGAGCCCGACCAGTTGTGTAACCGAAGCTCGACCAGTTGTGTAACCAGACCCCGACCAGTTGTGCAACCGTAAGCCTAGCAAGTATACATCTCATCCAACCCCCACAAAGCTAAACAGTCCCAGAGCACAACTAAACTCCATTCCTAGCTCGACCAAACAAAAATCTCCTTAGCCCTACCTAAAACCCTCCACTTGCCCTAGACACCAACTATTGACCCATAGCAAACAATTGAACTATATACAAAAAAAGAAACCCGGATTTCTAACAAACATATAAACATAGAGCCTTAGCAAACAAACCTGGAGCACTAGTACACAAACAACCGCTGAAGCACAACCATGCACGAACTGAAGCCTGACCATGCACAACCCAACGCCCAAGTGACACCCCCGGAGCCCGACCAGTTATTTAACCGGAGCCCGACCAGTTATTTAACCGGAGCCTGACCAGTTATTTAACCGGAGCCCGACCAGTTGTGTAACCGAAGCTCGACCAGTTGTGTAACCAGACCCCGACCAGTTGTGCAACCATAAGCCTAGCAAGTATACATCTCATCCAACCCCCACCAAGCTGAACAGTCCCAAAGCACAACCAAACTCCATTCCTAGCTCGACCAAACAAAAATCTCCTTAGCGCTACCTAAAACCCTCCACTTGCCCTAGACACCAACTATTGAGCCATAGCAAACAATTGAACTATATACACAAAAAAGGAAACCCAAATTTCTAGCAAACATAAACAGAGCCCAAGCAAACAAACCTGGAGCACTAGTACACAACCACTGGAGCACAACCAATGTACGAACCTGAGCACAACCATGCACAACCCAAAGCCCAACAAGTCACACCCCTGGAGTAATGTAATCGAAACCCGACAAATTATGTAACCGGAGCTCGACCAGTTGTCTAACCACAAGCCTAGCATGAACGAATCAAACAACATATGGATCACAACCATGCACGAACCGAAGCCCGACCATGCACACCCAACCCAAATGAACCCCCAAGCCCGACCAGTTATTTAACCGGAGCCCGACCAGTTATTTAACCGGAGCCCGACCAGTTATTTAACCGGAGCCCGACCAGTTGTGTAACCGGAGCCCCACCAGTTGTGTAACCGGACCCCCAGTTGTGTAACCCCGACCGTTTGTATAACCAAAGCTCGACCAGTTGTGTAACCGTAAGCCTAGCAAGTATACATCTCATCCAACCCCCACAAAGCTAAACAGTCCCAGAGCACAACCAAACTCCATTCCTAGCTCGACCAAACAAAAATCTCCTTAGCCCTACCTAAAACCCTCCACTTGCCCTAGACACCAACTATTGACCCATAGCAAACAATTGAACTATATACAAAAAAAGAAACCCGGATTTCTAGCAAACATATAAACATAGAGCCTTAGCAAACAAACCTTTAGCACTAGTACACAAACAACCGCTGAAGCACAACCATGCACGAACCGAAGCCTGACCATGCACAACCCAACGCCCAAGTGACACCCCCGGAGCCCGACCAGTTATTTAACCGGAGCCCGACCAGTTATTTAACCGGAGCCTGACCAGTTATTTAACCGGAGCCCGACCAGTTATTTAACCGGAGCCCAACCAGTTGTGTAACCGAAGCTTGACCAGTTGTGTAACCAGACCCCGACCCGTTGTGCAACTATAAGCCTAGCAAGTATACACCTCATCCAACCCCCACCAAGCTAAACAGTCCCAAAGCACAACCAAACTCCATTCCTAGCTCGACCAAACAAAAATCTCCTTAGCGCTACCTAAAACCCTCCACTTGCCCTAAACACCAACTATTGAGCCATAGCAAACAAT